TAGGGTTTAGGGTTAAGGTTTAGGATCAGGGTTAGGATTAACTTCAGCTTCCCAGAGTGCTGGGATTACATAGGTGTGCGTCACCATGCCCAGCTACGTGTAACTTAAAATAATCTGTTCACGGCAAGATTCCTTTCTCCTTTTTTTCTTTTTCAATTAATCTGTCAGCTATGAAAACTGATCTTTACATTTACTATGCTGATCAATTGTAGGTTTAAACATCTGTGCAATAAGTTGACTGTTTAAAACTTTTTCTTGATAAAAGGTAAACTGATTCAGCTATCCAAATAAGTAGAAAATTCCTGAATTTGTTTAAAATAATGAGATCTTTTCCTGTCAAGAGAGGAGACATTTTTCAGAATTCTGAATCTGGAAGTTATTTTATTTTATTTTATTTTATTTTTGTACTGGAGATTGAACTCAGGATCCTGCGCTTGCAAGGCAGGTGGCGGAACGACTGAGCTAAATCCCTAGCCCTTTTCTTTTGTTTTGTGTGCACATAACTCTTAAGAGATGGTTCCGTAATCCTCAGCTGCGTTTGCCTTAGCCCTTATTTGCTACATGTTTTCCAGGAAAGCAGTCACTTAGGAGCATGTTCCCTGGATTTCTTTTGGCAGTAGAGACTTGCTTGAGTCAGAAGTTTGAACTGACTACGAACATGTGTTTTATAGATTAGGAAAATCGGTTGGTAGTAAAATTTCTGAAGGCTCCTCGAAGTATATCAGGCCTATGGGTGAAAACTAGAGCTCTGTAGGCGTGTGGTTGAGAAGCAATCTGGAGGAGTGATTTATTTGAGCTGTGCTGCACTTTATTTGAAAGTGATGTTTGTGGTTTAAATGCCTTTTCGTGCATCCTCTTTTATGAGTACCAGAATTCACACCTTGAATGGAGATTTTTTTTTAACTGCTTTTGCAGTATGGTAGATTGTACTCAGGGCTTTCACACTGAGCCACATTGACACCATATATATATATGTGTGTGTGTGTGTGTATGTATGTATATATATACACACACACACACATATACATATACATATATATATATATATATTTTTTTTTTTTGTACGAGATATCAAACTCAGGTCTTTGCAGTTGAGATAGTTTTTCACCAAGTCATTAAGTTTCCCCAGGCTTGTCTCAGATTTATGGTCCTCCTGCCTCAGCAGATGACTTTTGAAATCTTCGCTTATGTTGGTGCCAGTCTGCTGGCTCCTCTGCCTCTGTCTGCAGGTGCCAGTCTATGTGCATCCTGTCCTGAGGGAAGCAAGATTTTGTTTGTGAAATGAGGTCATTAGAGTGGGCCTTCATCCACCACGACTGTTGTCCTTCTAAGAAGGGGAAATGAGGACACAAAGAGTCACAGAGGAGAGACCGTGTGGAGGGACAGTGAGGAGGTGGCCACTGCAGATGACATAATTTTATTTAAAAACAGAAGATGGCCTTGGTTTCTCTATTTTTGCTAATCTCTTTAACATCTGGCATAGTGGAAGTCAGCTGGATTCTCCCTTCGACATCTGAATTCAAGCTGTTGGTGTGTGATTCGGGTGAACTGTAACGTGAACATCTGGTTTCACAGGGATGTAGGATTGTAAAGAAGGAGTACTTCAGTCATCTCTTCAGATAATTGTGGATATTTTTCTTTGATACAACACTAAAACTGTACAGCTACTTTTTTTTTGAAGGCTATTTTTTTTTTTTCATTTTAATGCAGTGTTGGTGATCAAACAAACCCAGGGTGTTATGCAGGTGGGGCGGGTCACTGAGCTACATACATCCCCAGCCCATTCAAAGTTGTTTTCAGTGTGGAAACTGGAATATAAATACATTTTTTCCTTTGGTACACTAGAACCCATTGGTTTGCCTTCCACTTGGAATGATTTTTTTTTTCCATGCAGGATCCTGCATTAATCACCTGGAAAATATCTATTCACTGAGCCTTGCAGGTCTTCCAAATGCTGACGTACCTCATTACACAGTTTCAAGATTTCCTCAGTATCCCTACTGATCACCTGAGACAAGTTGAAATGCTGATATGCTCTCAGCCTCAGAGTGATGCATGCAGTTTGCAGAATTCTAATTTTTGCTAAGATCAATTTTATAATTGGCTGTCGGTAGCTTTCTTAAACTTCCAGCCTAAACCTTCTTCACTTTTGAGAAAATATCTACGAGATACCCAAGTCTGAATAACCATACTTTATCCCTCAGCCTTTTCTTACAAAGGGAAAAAAAATGGCATTCCATGTAAAATCTAGCTAGTGTATCTCACAGTTAAACCCCTGGTTCAAGTGCTTTGTTCCAGGACACAGAACCATTGTACTATGCTGTGCACGTAAGCACTCCAGGCATGGTTCCATTTACTCGTGCAGAGTAAATTAAAAGATGTGTACTTCCAGGTTAATGTGGGTAAAATGATTTTTAATGCTTGATCAAGAATATTCTTAGTGCGCTTGACTTTTTTATTTAATGTGATTACGTGGTAGTAAACAATATAATGAATATTAGCCAGTGCCTTGATTCGTGCTGAGTCCAGCAGTGACCATTGCTTCTGTGCCCAGTGCACGTGTCAGCGTGGTGAAGGGCAGGTTAACATCTTTTGTTCCAACCTCACTGATATCCGGACGGGTCTTGGAAATTGCCGGAGCTCACCACCCAAGCCCGGACACTTCCGGCTCGTGTAGAGAGCGTTCGTTTGTGGGGTGGAGCTCAACACTTTACTCAATTCTCATGGCCAGAGAAGACACGCTGTGTAGATCCCCATAGAAATTCAGTGTTTGGCTTAGTCTGATTACCTGTTTTTGATTATGCAGGTTTGTGACACAGCACGGTGATGACCATTTGGGGAACGGGTTCCTGCATATGACATATAACGTATCTTCCATCCAGTCTCCTCCCTTTTTGCCCCCCTTACTAATCCTCTGCCCCATCTCCAGAGTCTACCTTCCAGTTTCCTATCATCTTCCTTTATTTTATTCATTTGTTTATTTGTGTTTTCAGGTTTCCCATATAAGAAAAAAACCCCACTATGCTTAACTTTCTGAGTCGGGTTATTTCGCTCAGCATGATGGCCTGGGGTTCCATCCATTTTCTTGCAAGTGCCATGATTTCATTCTTATGACAGAATAATATTCCAGGGTGTATAAACAGCACATTTTCTTTACCCATTCGCCTGTTGTCTAGGCTGTTTCCGAAGCTTAGCTGTTGTGAATCGCACCACTATATACATGGACATACAAATATCACTGTAGTATGTATGATGTCTTTAATTCTTCCTGGAAAATACCTGGGAGAGGTGTAGCTGGGTCAAGTGGCATTTCTATTTGTAGTTTTTTGAGGACTCTTCATACTTTTTTTAATAAAGAGAAATATTGAATAGGTACTGCACTGCCAAAATAATGGTCTCTCACACCACACATGTATACTGTCCTGTAATCTACATGTTTTAAATTCCTTCATTTAGCAGTAATAACAGTATACACTTAGTCCCAGCACACTGTTACACTTACAGTGTTACTGCACTTAACCCTACCTGATCCTTTGATAGCAGGGCCTCATCCCATTCAGCAGATAAGGATGCTTGTGGCAGTTAATTATTCACCTAAGATTAGATAGGAGGTGGATCTTGGACTCCTTTGTAACTCTTAATGGGGTAAAAATCCCAGATCAGAACGCACAATGAACACGAGTATGTAATTAACTATATTTTATTAAGTGGATGATAATTAATCTTTGAAGAAACAGGAGTTGTCGAACAGTTCACCCAGTGATATGGACAGATCAAAGCAAGGCCGAATGGCTGTGGGCTGGCGGGGCAGCCTCAGGTACCATGGGGAAAATCTTCCAGTTCCCAGGGCTCTATCAGAGCGGAAAAGCCATGTTCCTGCTGCAAAATCTGTACACATCTGCTCAGGTCTGTGCTGGGTTCCCCAAAAGTCCTACTGGGAGCGGCTTGCTTTGTTTTGCAGCCTGTACATCTGAACTTCCTGGCTTTAAAAAGGATGCAGTGTGGGATTTCTCTTCACTCCGACAGGGGCGCACTTCTCTGGTGCACCTACAGTCAGAGCCTTGGGAGGCTGTGCTAAAGTGCCCAGTGTGGTGGGAAGGGGCCCGGGTCCATCGTGCCTGTCCCAATCCCTCTGTTTCTTTAGCAAGTCCCGCACTGCCTGGGCCCCAGTCCACTCGGAGCATTCCTGCCTCAGTGGCTGAGTGAGAGGTGGCTTTTCACTCCTTTTCATCCAGACCTATGTCAGAAGTTGAAAATGCCCCAAATGTGCATGCATACAATAATGCATGCGTATAATTGTGTATTCAGATTTTCATACACTGCTTATAGGAGAGGGATTTCCCACGTTAAGATTCTTGTTTGTTTTGCAGTTCTGGAGATGATTGGATTTAAGGCCTTTGCACAGAACTGCACCCCTGGCACCATGCCTTCCTCTTTTTTCTTTTAAGTTTTTGGTACAGGGTTTGGCTAAGTAGCTACTTAAATTGCCCAAGTTGGGCTTGAATTTGTGGTCTTCTTTCTTCAGCCTCCAAGAGTACTGAGATTAAAGGCGTTAATAACCCTTGAAGCAGGTTAATTTTAAGAGTCATAAAAATTGTGTAAATGTGGATTTTTCTAAAAAAATATATTGTATTTGCGTTCCAGGTGAGAACTAGTAATGTTAACATATAGTAATGTGTTAGTACTAATTATTAATGAGCTGCCTGTGGTATGCTGGTAAATATTAAGGCGTATTGTGAGAAATTGAACTCCTTTAAAGGGGTACCCTTGTAATTCTGCACAGGCTAAATAGTAAATAAAAAATAATTTGTCCTTCTTCTTTGCTTTCAGCCAGAGGCTAGTTAATGTAATTGCTTACATATACTAGGAAATAGAAATACAATTCTAAGAATACTGTATCTGTATGACAATCTGTAACCACATGGAGTCCTCTTTTTTCTAAGTCTACATCTCATATTTTTACTGAAAAAATAATTTTGCCGCTTTGCCTTTCCCCCCAGATATTGTCAGAAAAATCATACAGAAGAAGTTTGAGCCCTCAGCTGATTACGACAAGGTAATTTTTTGTTGGTGTATTTGTTACTAAAAATAATGAGGAGAAAATTTTGGCTGACTCAAAAATAAATCTTTAAGAAGTGATTGTTTAATCTGTAACTTTAATAGACTTTTTTGACTAAGGATTTGTGTGAAATATTGGAATATGTTGTAGATCCCATTTGAAAGACAACAGAACTTTCAAACGGAGCACTGAGGAAAGCCTTACTTAAAAATTAGCATTTTCCCCCCACAAAATGTTCACTTATTATTTATTTTTTATTTATTTATTTATTTATTTATTTTGGTTCCCACGGATTGAACTCGGGTCCTTGCACTTGCAAGGCAGGCCACCGAACCGCTGAGCTAAATCCCCAGCCCTGTTCACTTACTTTTTAGCTAAGCAATGGAAAGTCTGGAAGTAGAGTTGTTTGAAAAATCCCTGGAACGGTGTGCATGGCCCTGGGAGATGCATGTGGGGAAGAAGCCCATCTAAGCAGGGTCTCTGGAGGGCCTGCTCTCGGCCCCAGGTGAAGGGAGCAGGGAGAAAAGATGGCCCTGCTGCACAGCGGGGGGGGGGACAGGCCCGAGGGTTCAAAGAAGAGAAGAGGGAGAAAGCAGATCCGAAAGTGACACGCAGAGGTACGTGGAAAAAGACAGTTCTGACATTCTAACCGGAAGTGCTTCCAAGGGAGAGACTGTGGTCAGGGCGGGGGAGGGGGGCGGCTGTTTGTACCCGGGCTGGGCGTCATGGGAGCAGAGAGGTTGGTGTGGGACAAGCACCGTGCCCGCGAGTGAGTGGGATATTATGTCCGGAAGCTGTGTAGAACCCTCGTGTGCCTCTGCCCTTTCTCTCCATTCACCTCCATCGCTGACCAGAAGAATGTCTGTTTGATTTTGGTGTGTTATCAGGGTAGGCCGCCCAGGAAACAGACAAATAACTGTTGCATGGAACACAGAGTAAGAAAAGTGAGTTCAGTCTGTTGGTCACGTTCCCGGTCCTCCGCACCCTGTTCTTTCCTCTCCTCCTATGAGGCGGGTATCTAGGGATCGGTAGGCAGAGGTCCAGGTGCGCATTTCTTATGGCCAGCACAACAAACCTGAATGCCAGAGCTCCTGACCAGGGCACTGAACTTCTGCCCAGTGGAGAGTGACCTCAGACGTGGTAGTTAGAACTCGTATTTGGAGATGGCCTCATCGTAGTCTCAATTTGCAATAAAACGATACTCAAGAGAAAAGCGAATATAGATGGCAAAGCGGGACGCCTATCTGAAAGCCATTTCCACCTAGCAGGGAAGACGGTGAGAGATGACGCTAGTGGAGAACTCACAGCCTCCCCAGCGCTGTGGACCGCGTGTTCATTCTTCTGTGCTCTTGGCTTCATTTATATCTTCCCGGAAGTTGCCCGTGTTGGTCTGTATCGCTCGGCAGAATAAAATGACCACTGCCTTTATGTTATCTTTAAACGTAGCTTTCTATTGGCAGATAGTAACCTGAATGCCACCGAGTTCTTCAAAGTCCTCTGTTTGGGAGCACTGGCTGGGAAGTGGGGAAGGGAGGGCAGCCTACTCGGGGTGCTGACAGCTGCGTCATGCAGCTGAGCCTTGAAAAACTGCCAAGCGTCGGCCTCAGATGAGCTCACGGGAAAGGTGAGAGAGCTGAGGTGTCTGTGCACCAGGTCCCAGGAGGTCCTGCTTAGGGCGGCTTGGGAACTGGAGGCAGTCTTCACGCCCAAGTACTTTGGACTTCCAGCAGATGCAGCTAGTCAGTGCCACTCGGCAGTAGTTAGAAGTCTGAGGTGATGTATGAGACCAGGGCATGGGCAGCAGCACCAGCGTCTTCACAGAGGCCCACGCCTTCTCAGCACAGTCAGGAAAGGTCTGTCCAGGTGAGTGTCCTGGGACGGAGTCTTCCTGGCTGCCCTTACACTGGGTCTGAATTTGATTCAGTTATCCATTTCAATTTGGGACCAGAATTGTGGAAGGAATTAAGTTCATGAGCCAAGGCACCTCTGTACTTTGAAGTCTTGGACCCCTTTTCTTCCCAGAATTTTTTTTTTTTGAGACTTTCTCTCTTTCAGTGTATTTTATTAATTGACATTTCTGGAACTCCCATTAGGAGCAATGCATGGTAAGGGTGTCGTAATATACCACAAGAGGCAGTTTGTGAAATGAGGTCATTAGAGTGGGCCTTTATCCACCACGACTGTTGTCCTTCTAAGAAGGGGAAATGAGGACACAAACAGTCACACAGGAGAGACCGTGTGGAGGGACAGTGAGGAGGTGGCCACTGATGAGCCAAGCAGGGAGGCTGCGGAGGAAACCACTGGCCCACACCTTGATCTTGAACTTTCCAGCCCTACAGCAGCCTTACTGTGGAAGCTGCCCAGTCTAGGGTACCTTACTTGGTGGCCAGAGTAGGCAGAGAGAGTGAGCCACGGGAATGCAAGGAACATGCGTCATGCATGCAATTCTGGTGAAGGCTGGTACCAGTCAGGGAGGGAGAAAGTCCTTGTACTTGGGAAATCGGCAAAGGTTCCACAGTGGAGCTAGCATTTCAGCTAGACTTAAAGGCAGGTAGAACAAATGAGAGATGAAGTCTTACCTCCACCCGAAAACGTTGGCCTGAACCACCATGCTGCTTATTTCTTAAAGCACATTCTCAAGCTATTGCATCTTCTCTGTGACAGGAAGAGCCGCCATTGCTTGTCTGCATGTGCAGGGCCTAGGCCGGGACCTTTCCGTCGTTCCTAATCCTCACAAGGACACATCTCCAAGGAGGGAGGGCTGCTGCTGCTATAGTAGGTGCAAGAAAACCCTGCAGGAGGCAGCACCTGCACTTGGATTTGAGTTTGATTGGGGATGGGGATTATGTTGGGCAAGGAGGCTGCATGGAGGAGCCCAGAATAAGAGGGGACAGGTCATAGGATGACAACGAACACCCTGAGAATGGTCAGGCAGCAGGGGGCATGAAGCCAAGGTTAGGTGGTGGAGAACCACACTGAGACATCGGCATTAAAATTGCTGGTATACCACGGGACACTGTGAAGCAAGGGACCGACACCATCCGATCTCGTCATGGAGGTGACGCTGGAAGATGTTCCCCTTGGCTCTCGGACTTTAGGCAGCCCCTGGCTCTCTATTTTATGTAGATTGCATGGTCAGTGTGTGCAACCTTTGTAACTTTTCCTGTACTTCTCCTTCTCATAACTGACCAGTGTACTGAGACCTATAAAGAGTCAGAGGCAAACTCTAGAACTCGACTCTACTCGAAACCCTGTTCCCACGTGCACACTGAAGAGCTGTATCCCTTCTCGTGTCAGTTGTCTGATTCTCTCTGTATGGGGTGGTAATGCTCCTGGCTGTGGTTATTTACTCATGTGCATTTTTCTGTTTTCTTGGTGCATGCTGTCTCTGCCACACACAAACTCCTCAACTGCTTTGACTTCCACAGCCAGAAAATATAGTCTTGGCTCTGAAGGTAAAGTTCATGTCTGCTATCTGTTCCTTGTCTTACACTAGTGAGTGGCGTCCCCTTTGTCAGAACATCCTTTTCTTCCCTGTGTTGGTTTTTAAGTTATTCATTTTATTTTTGTTCCAGCCACCATCTTTAATCCTCCCTTGGCCTCATCCTCAGGGTTATCTATAAAATGCTCCAAGGTCTTGACGCATCAAATCTGCATACTAGTGGACCTTGGCAAGACTTTATTTTAAGCTCTTAAAATGATGCATTCCCATTCCCGAGACTGTGATGTTTAGAAGGGAACATCAGGAAGATTGTGCACCTGATATAAAATTTGTATTTGGAGCTAAAACCAGGGCATTGTGAACATTTCAATATCACCCCTCACCTGGTTTTGGGTTCAGTGTCTCCTGGAGTTCAGAGAGGGGTTACAGTGAGTTACTCTTTCTAAATGATTTAGAAGTAGTGAACAATTTGGAGTGTTTGCTGAGAAATGATAGGAAAATATGGAAGATGTGAGTATCTGGGCTGGTTTCTAATTAAGACCTCTGGTCCTCAAAGAAGCATTAAAATCAGTATATTTATAAAATGGCTCTTCGTGGTCGAGGAAAGGGGCTTATGTATATACATTTATAAAACTGATAAATGCAGCAAAATTTAGCCACTTTCCTCTCATTTTAGCATTTTAACCTTAATATCAAAGTAGATAATATTCAAATGTCATGCACCCGATTTAATACTTGAGCTTTTGCTCAATTACTGTCTATTGAATTCTTACTGTGAGCTGGGCACTTGGCCATTTGTTTTCCCCTTAAATCATGTAGTTTTCTGCCCTGTACAATAAGTTCATGTTGTTAATGAACACTTTCCAGATTGGGGAGCCTGCAGCCTGCTGGGCTGTAACTGATTTCCATTTCAGTGCCATCTTCAAGGCATTGCATTTGGTCCCAGAAATGCTGATGCACCTCAGTCCCTCTGCGCGGTATACAACAGACCAACTAAGAGGCAAAGTGCTGAGGCAAGGAGAGAGACTTCATTCTATAAGCCAGTTACACTAGAAGATGGGTGATTTGTCACAAAGCCCATCTTACTAGGAAGCTGATTTAGGGGTGGTTTGTACAGGTTGGTGGGCATTCACAGACTGGCGGGCATCTTCCCACAGCAGGTGGCCTGGATGATGTCTAGTTGATCCTGGTCCCCCAACCCCAAGATGCTGATCAGCTCTGCACACCTTAAGAACAAAGATCCTTATCTCCTGGGCTTATTTTTGTTAGTGGCTCGCTTGTCTGTGTGCAGTTCCTAACACATATCCCAGTGGACAGGCTGGAGAGGGCAGCTGCCCCAGGCCCTCTTGACTGCCCCAAACTCATGGTAATGAATGAAAACATACTTCACCTGATTACCGGGGAAGACAAACGTGCGATAAAGGCAAACGGAGCCAGACACAAGGTCTTGTCTCGATGCTCGACTTTAGGACCAAGACTTCCTGTGTCCTGTTTTATTTTGCTCAGCCGGACTTCAGCATCCATCGCTATCCAGCTTGTCCATTAGTTGCCAACTCCCAACCTGTAAGTTTCCTCCATTCTTTAGCAGTGTGAGTCCTAGCTTGCAGGAATTTGAGCATCTAGTTCCATTATCCAGTTATATTTATTTTCACTTATCCCCAGAAAAAACCAGCAGGGATAAGGAAAATATATTTAGGTCTGGTGATCATATCTAGGAGTGGTGCTGGCTACTGGGAATGTTGGGCCTGTGTGAGCCATGAGCTGTGGCATCTGTCACATTGCCGAGGAGGTGCCACTGCATGGAAAGTGCCATTTATTCACTCTGTGCCCAGTACTCAGCTAGGCGGTCTCTCTAATCAAACTATCATTTTTACAATGACCCAGCAAGATCCATACTGTTATACCCCGTGGATGGATGCAAAAAGTAAGTGATCTGTGTTTTACTATCTGCTTCAGAAAGTCTGAGCCTTTATTCTAAATTTATACACATTTCAGATTCTTTGGTATCTATGCATTTGTCTGTAATTGAGCCAAATTATTGCTTCAAATTCAAATTGCTTCAAAACTTTAATAACTTCTACTTGTCCTGTCATTCTGGTGTAAAGCACCCCATATATACGTAGTTCATTCATTGTGCAAGTATTCAAGCCCCGATTTATCAAACCATTTGAAAAGACAGACTACCTTTGGGGCTGAAATTATACCATCTGTGGCTTGACCCTATACTTTCTCTCTTCCTGGGATTTGAAAGGAAGACAGTAATCACTTGGTTCCATGTTCTGATAACTCATTTCTCTGTTCCCTCTTTCAAGAAGGAGCTTTGAAATGGGAAAATACAGACACATCCCTTGATTCAACTTGTGATGGCGACTAGGTAAGGTGTACACCACGGCATGTTCTGTGTGACCGTATGCGCTGTTTCTTTTTCCGAACTGCAGGTTGCCTCCTATGAAGTTGGCATCATCATCTGCGCCGTCCTGGGACTGCTCTTCGTTATTCTGATGCCAGTGGTGGGGTACTTCTTCTGTCTGTGCCGCTGCTGTAACAAGTGCGGCGGAGAAATGCACCAGCGACAGAAGCACAGTGGCCCCTTCCGGAGGAAATACTTTGCCCTCTCCCTCTTGGCAATTAGTGTCATCATAAGGCAAGTAGACACTTGAACAACGGCTGATCTTGTTTTAGGGTGACTGTCTCATGTTTTAACTTACACCCATGAGCTTGAAACAAAGCAACAGCAGCAACAAACAGAAAACGGAGAACAGAAGTGTTTGTCCAGGAGGGATGAGGAGCTATGTCTATCGGTGAAAAAAAGCCTAGAAAGGAAGCCGTCCTAACTTACCTGATGAGCCAGCCCTCTGATATTTCCCCCCTGTAGATATCCTGATAGATCTTAGGCTGCTGAAAGCCTCTACCTCCAAGAGGAGCTCCCCCTTCTGAGCTAGATCTTTGGAGGCAGACAGCATGTACGAAGACACGGCCTGTATTCGATAGTCTGCTCCAAAGGAATCTTAACGGATGGGTTCAGTTCTTAACTTTGAAAATCCAAGAATATTATGGACTCTAGTGAGCTTTCTAATAATATCTAAACCCATTTTTCTTAAATTTGTTATTCAGGCCGGGGATTTAGCTCAGCGGTTTGGTGGCCTGCCTTGCAGGCGCAAAGACCCGAGTTCAATCCCCGGTACAAAAAAAAAAAAAAATTAAATTTGTTATTCATCTGCTACCCTTTTCTGAAGTCTAGCATGTACCTCAGAGTTTAGCATGTGCCCACTGGTGTTCCTGCTGCTGCCGGAAGTCTTCCAAACCACAGATCACAAATACACTGCTTTTAACACAAGGCTGATTTGTTGAGTCCAAATTGATTCCCTGGCTGAGGAATGTGTATCCAAGACACTGGTCCCTTCTAGTGATTTTTGGTTATTGCTCCACACTTCCTTGTTTTTTCAACTGTTGTTTCATACAGCAACAGAAGCAAAATGCCTGCTATATGAACAGTTCTAGGTCTGTGGATGCAGGCACAAGGGCTGGTAGTCAGCATCCTCCTTGTGTTTCTCCAAACACTGCTTGCTCAGTAGCTGTGAATATGATTTTTCAATTTTTATTAAGTAAGTGATAATTAGGAATTTAAGGACAAACAGTAAGTTCTAGTTGAAGCTTTAGCTGCAAACCCATGAGGAAAAGTCTGTTAAGTATGGCCATCAATAGGAGTCTGATACCACGCATGGTTTGGGGTGACCACAAACGGAAATACAGTGTACACTCAGATGAATTGATGGGAAATGAGCTCCCATGGAGATGAACTGAAAAACGCAGGCTGCAGACCCTGTGTAGAACACTGTAACTATGATAAAAATAAAAAAGGAAGGAGACACCCGACAGTTGCAAACAGCACACGCTGCAAGGATTAACAAAGAGGCGCACACGGTGGTTATCTCTGAAAAGGAAATTGTGGTCGTTGGCTGGAAGGCAGGGCCTTGCTGCTGCAGCTGGGCTGCTGGTACTCTGGAGTCAGTGCACCAGGCTCCCATGCTCCCCACGGAATTAATTAAACTGGATGTTGCACTGCAGCAACAAAAGCCAGGGCATTGCCCCTTATTCCAGGACAGTGACTATTTAAGCAAAGATGTAATTTTGCTGAAAATTGCACAGTAATAGCCTTTCTGATGTTGATGTGTGAACGGGACCCCATGGACATTTCACTGAACTCCATGCCCTGCTGGTCCACCCCAAGGCTCCTTGTTTGCTCTGTGAGCTTCAGGAGTGCATTGGCCTTCTTCTCCATCTCTTTTCTGTCTCGGATTTTTGCCTCAGTCTGTCGGTCTCTGTCTCTGAACATACTTTAAAGCTGTTTCTTTCCATGAGTTCTGAAAGACGGTGTAGGATCTTATCAATGGGAATTCCAGCCGTCTCTGTCTGCTTTGCGTTTAGGGGACTCGGGGACTCAGTGACCCCTGCAGCTCTGTGGAGAGTTACCGCCTACCATACCAGTGACAGGTACAGCCCAGAGACCTTCAGGCTCAGCAGGATCTCTCGGCATTTCAGGCAAGCCAGAGTCTTACACCCTTCATCCTCCCAAGGGCAAGACCCACTGTGTTGCTCTCTGTCCACAGACTTAGACGCCAAAGACAGGCTCAAGTAGAAAGTGTCACTTGAAAATCTTGCCCTGGGCTTCTTGTTAGAGGAGTTACTTACCAGGTTGGTAATTTTTACCTGATATAAATACATAGGTCGTAATTTCAGGGAAATTGTTTATTGTGTGTAGTTATTCATTCACCAGAATAAACACTTACATATGTAATGATGGGCTTTCTTTCTTTTTTTTTTTGTCATTTAAAAATGCATTTTTATTCTCTTATTATAGTTACAGGGATTTATGGTTGGGATGATAAATACAGGCTTCTACCAGGAACATTCTCATCAACATTTCCTCAGTGTCCCGACGGCCTTCATGAATAATTTCACTGAGGAAAGCTTCCCTGGAACTTGGCTAAGGACGATGCCTGTAACAACCATTTCCAGGTGCTGCTCTGTGTACACAACCCCTCTTCTCTGGCACAAGGACAACATCAGGTTTGCCTCACACAGAGCAAGATCTCTGCAGTGAGACATTTCAACGTCACCAGATCCACACTATAAAGGAGTAAACTGACACTCAGAGAGGGTAAGGGACTTGTCCAGGTTACACAGCTAGGAAGCAGAAAATCTGGGACAAGAATCCAGGTCTCCTGCTAGCTAAGCCAGTGTTCTATTCAACAGCACATAAGGCCCGTGGCAGGGAGGGGGCCTCTGCACGTAGGTAATGCTGTAACAGAAAGCAGCTTTCTAGCTTTCTGGAAATTACTAGAATTTGGCCCTGGAAGGACCCTTAAGAATCATCCAATCCACCATCATGAAGATGGGCAGACTAAGGGCCAGCCAAAGAAACCAACTTGCCAAAAGTTACACAGCTGAGAGTAGAAGAGCAAGACCAGAATGTAGGTCCATCCTAACCCAGGTCCATCAGTCAGCTGGACATGGAGAGCAATGTGAGGGCGCTGCTATAAGGACAGCAAAGCAGTCAGTCCATGGGGTGCTTCCCACTTAGCAGGGCTAGACCTCAGGGAGTTTACAATCTGGCTAGGAAAACAGGCATGTATGTGCAGAGGGAAACAGGACCAGTAACCAAAACATCAGTGCACATAGCAAAAACTGTAACAAGAACTTAAGAGTTGGCAGTGAGCAGCAGGGCAGCTGTGCTGGAAGAATTCCTGAGGGAGGGACAAGGAAAGATGGGACTCAGGCATGAGTAAGAGTCCAACAGAGAGAAAAGAAGAGAAGCGTCAGTTCAGGAAAGACTCGACAATCAAGAGGTCTTGCGGGAGACGATGGCTAAACTAGGTGAAGGTTGGGTCCTGGGCCTTGAAGCCTTCAGTGTCAGGCCATGGCTTTGTAACTCAGGCCTAGGAACTCCAGGTCGTCAAACTTTTGGGGGAGCAGAACCCCTGGAGGTCTCAGAGCTCTTCACAGAATTCCAGGAGCGACTGGAACAATGGGACAATGACCGATCATCGTGACAGGATGATCAGTATCAGAAAACACACCTAGTGCTTTACATCTGCCGGAGAAAACCACAGCCAAAGCATGCGTGTCTTTGAAGGAACACTCCTCAACTCAAACAGGATCGATCCAGCTGCTGCAAATACTCTTATTAGTGGTCTCCTCCTCGGTCTGCCACAATCTCCCATCTTCCACACCTGTCTCTGGAGCCCGGGGTAGCCTAAGAGCCCAGGCACCACTGCTGTTCACAAAATGTGGGGGAGAGCAGACTAAGGAGAGGAAACATCCTGAGACTCTGCTTCTTTTCTGCAGACCGGAGAGAGGCAGTCCTACAACTTGCAGGTCAGAGGCGAAGCCTAAAGAGCAGTGCTTTCCCTGATCCTCAGCTTCCTCGTCTGACATGAAGGTGCTGGAGACAGGAGACCAAACTTTGGATTCCAGACGGGCCCTGCCAGGTCACCTTCACGTGTCCTGGGCTCTGTGGGCAGTGAAAAGGGTGAGGGACTGACCTCTCCCTCCATGGCTGAAGCTCTATGCAGCACAGAAAGAGGACTTGGGTGGAACCAGCTCAACAACCATCAGCTTCAGCAAAGCCCAGTGGGCAGCACGGGATCCTGTCGAGACATTTCTGCGCAGGGTCCTGGCATGGGCACAACGTCCCTGTGGCAGGTGTCAGGGCACCGTTGGGAGCACTCTCGGCCGCTCATCTCCTGGCCTGGAGCTCGCCATGGGCCATCTCGAGCTCCAGGGACCTCCCCTACTTCTCAGTCTTGGAGGATGATAAAGACTTCTGTCCCTAGGTCACCTGTTCAGGAAGTGGCAGCATCCCGGGCCCAGGATATGCGCTTCTATGAGCTGGCAAGGGAACGGAACGCTTGGAGAGTCCATGTGCCGGGTCCCCACTGCCTGAGGGAGCTGGGAGGTCACTAGAAGCCGGATGTAGTAGCCACCAAAATACCGAGAGCAGCTGCTGCGCCATTTTCTGCGGCTCAGCCTCGGGCGCAAGCTGGTACAGCTCAGTCTGCAGGACTGGCCTCTCCTGAGGACTGGTCTCTGCTGGGCAGGAGAGGAGCATCCTCCAGGTCTCCAGGTCCCTCCGGCACTGCAGGGCTCACCCCTGTCTCTATGACAACACACAGCTGGCTCAGTCTGCTTCTCAGCAAGGACTCTTGGTTAGTTTTCATTTCTTGAACACAGTCGGACGGAAACTGCACGCAATTCTCCAGGTTGAAATAGACAAACCAGAGCTGGATCACACCCTGGCAGCCTTCCACAGTGTCTGTTACCCCCAGCAGCACCCGGTGTCTCAGGAGCATTCTGTTGGCAGCTGCCAGCCTTAGGTCCGCGTTAGTGTTGGCCTTCCTCTGGTGCCTCTCAAAGACAAGCACGAGTGTCAGCGTCAGGCTCACTGCGGCCAGGGTCACCAGAAGCACGCCCACCCAGTGGTTGCCCAGGGCAAACAGCTGGCTGGTCGAGTAGATATTGGTCCAAACCACGACACAGCTGTAGAAGACCACAGCGAAGGCCAGCCGCATGGGCCTGGAGTTGTAGATGGTATATCTCCTCACTTGTGGCTCCAACAGGGTGCTCTCAGCCAGGCTCCTGTACTGGTCGGCAGGGAGCTGAATGCCGCAGGCCTGCAGCTGCTCTTCTGCGGTTCCCAGGTCGAAGGAGATGGGTGCACAGGTATTGTCAACTCGGAGGACTGAGAGGACCTGGCCATGGTGCAGCTCTTGTCCCCACCTCGGCGGGCTCCCCCCAGGCAGGGCACTCCAACCAGGGGTGGCGGTGGGCAGCGGGCTGGCTGCCCCGCCAGGGTCCATCTGTGGCTCACAGGCCATGGCAGAGAGCCAGGCGGATTCTACTTCTTCCTGGAGTTGTGGTTCATGCTGGAGTGGCTATCACTACCTCGGCTCCACTCCCAGCCTCCGCGCCAACGCTGCCGGCCGGGGACGCAGGAGGTTGGGGCCTCCCCGCGCAGCCCTCTTTTTTTTTTTAATGAAGCATATGCTCTGTGTTGGATTCCTCTTTTAAGGTTAGACTTCTGTTTGCATTTTATGATTAATTCACTCTGAAGTGACTGCATTATTTGCCTTATGTTTAACATATTAAAATACATAAACAATAAAGGTACAACTTCAAAAATGTACTTGGCTTCTGTTTATATATATAAAGTGAAGGCCACTTTTGTTTTTTTTTTTTTTTGGTTCTGGGGATCGAACTTGGGTCCTTGAGCTGAGCTAAATCCCCAGCCTCTATTTTTTGTTTTATTATTGAGATTTGAACCCATCAAATAAATTTAGATAAGCTTTTTGACTTTTCAGTGTATCAGTGTGAAAATTCTTTCTAAAGATGCATGCCATTTTACATTAATTTGAAAATCATAATTTAGGTTTCAGTGAAATTAAACCAAAGTTGATCACTGTTAGAGGTTATGACAGATTTATAACTAATTTGATTTCACATAGTATACTGAATTTATATATAAAATGTTTTATTATACAAATGGGTCTGAATTGGAGTTGTGTATGAGGATTACTTTTCCTTTAAATTCAGATAAGTTTAAATTTAACCTTAAACTTTTCGGTTAACTGTAGGTATTTTGATAATTTCCTTTTGAAAACCCTACTGGTTTGCAAGTGTCTTAAACATCATTGAGTTGAATAACAGCTAAACATTGTTTTCACAAAATCAGAGCTAGCCAAGAAAATTAAAGCTCTGGGGAAAGAGAACAATTCTATAGTTATGTCACCAAAGTCAGAAGATCAGATCAAAATGGGGGGGGGCAGAGTGTCAACCAAATTAGAAGGCAGAGAGAACAAAAGTTATATTAGTGTCCTTCTCTCTAAGGCTCTGGCTTTACATTGACTTCAACAGAAATCCAATACAATTGTTAAATAATCTTTGATATGATTTTTTAACAATTCTCCCATGAACTCAGCAATTTTAAAATTTAAGTTGGTTTTAAAATGAGTGTTGACTTGGGGCCAGGATTTTAGCTCCGTCGTGCCGCTACCTTCCTCGCAAGTGCAAGATCCTGAATTCGATCCCGGCTACCAAGATAAATAAATAAGTAAAATAAAATTAGCATTGAGTAATTTTCATCCATCCCTTTTTATTTCAAAATTTTAAATCTGTTTTTGTTTGTTTGTTTGTTTGAGAAAGCCACTTTCTCCAAAGTTTTAGAGAGAGCCCCCAGGTGTGGAGGAGAAGGCTTTGCTCGCCTGTGTGCAGTTCACAAGGGCACACTCTTCCTCTGAGCTTTTCCAGAGGCAGCCGTGGAATGCAAGAGTCCTGGGGACCGGGACACAGGCTTGTGTCATCTGTCTGAGCAGCGCTGGAGGTGAAGTTCCACCTCTCGCAGTGGACGCATTCAGCAGATGGGTCTCAGTCCAGAAAGAGCCCGGTTTCCTCTCCTTTGTTTTCCTCTTGTCACCTCTGCACTTTTCAGAATTTCAAAAAGCCCATAAAGAGAGGTAGAGGAAAGGAGACAGAGAGAGAGAGACAGAGAAGAGAGAAAGAGGCTGCACCGCAACATCTTTTGTATGCATCCAAGTCTCTAAGTGCAAAAAGGCAGGCCTGGGATGGTAACGCAGGCGTCGGCAGGAAGCTGGCCATATTCAAGTGCATTTGTATTAGGTATGATCATCAGTTCCTGGCCTGAAGGTCACTGGAGTCTAATAAAAAAAAAAATAGAACTATAGCGTGCCTGAAAATCATGAGAGTTTCTTAATGATAATGAGAGGTCTAGTAACTGTAATTTTAAATTCAAAAATTATCTTTAAAAAATAAGAGATCAGTGAAAGACTGAAAGCTTTTATTTGACTTTCACTGGCTAATTTAATTCAGTAGTAATTTTTAGGAAAAAAATAGCCACACATTTTTTAAAAAGTTTTTTTGCTGTAAAAGTTTTTAAAGTATTTACCAATAGAAGGGCAGGGGATTTGGCTCAGTGGTGCAGTGCCTGCTTCTCAAGTGCAAGGTCCTGAGTTTGATCCCTGGTACCGCAAAAAAAAAAGAAGAAAGAAAAAAAGAAACTAGAGCCTGTATTCTTATCCCTTCTCCACCTTTTGGCTAAGATCAAGTATAGTATTTACTAATAGGTGTACATGTGAGAAACTTGTTTTTCCATAACTAAATGTAGAACTATTAAATATAATGTTAATATGCCATAAAAAATAAAAATTTGTGTCTTCTTCTAAATATTTCAAGAGATTTTGCTCTGCTTTAGCACACAGTTTTGATAGTTTAACATGTTAAGGTCTAGTGAAGGGATATTTACTGAAGTTTTAATCCTTTTTTTTTTTTTTGTACGGAGAATCAAACTCTGGACCTTGTGCTTGCAAGGCAGGTGGCGGAACCACTGAGCTAAATCCCCGGCCCACTTTATTCCTTTTTTATGTTGGGTGAATCTGTGTACTCTCTTATCTTAATAGTTGATGGGTTGTTGTTAAAACACAAAGCCATAAATTTGGCTGGTGGTTTAGCTCAGTGGTGCCACCACCTGCCCCTCAAGTGCAAGGTCCTGAGTTCAATCGCCAGTACAAAAAAAAAAAAAAAAATCATGTGATTAAAAGATTAAAAAACAATAAATTAAACAGTAGTGTTCAAATAAACAACAATAAATAGTATCTTTGTGGGGGCAGTAGAGCACGGTAGGCAAGTGGTCTAACACCGAGCTGTGCCCTCTGCCTAAAAGTACCCTTGCTTTATCCTGTTTTGTTGAAACAAAAGGCTGAAGTTAGAGATGGCAAGTGGAGACGACCAATGGTTCTGCTCAGTACTTTTAAACGGGTAACGTGTCTAAGTGCGGGGCTTTTCCTTGAGAATCCAGATCTTCAGGCGTCTGTGGCCAGGCCGAGGTCCCGGGCTGCTTCGTGGGGGTGCTCAGTGCCAGTGTTGCTGGTGTCTGTGTTTCCAGAGCCACAGAGTGGCCACTCCACCCCACCTTTGCTCTCCCAGCCCCCAGAGACCCATGGGTCCACTTTCCTTTGTGCTTTCTGCCTGCCCCAGCAGGAATTTGCATTTGTTATCCTCAATTCAAATAAAAATTTACATTGTGCTGGAAGTCTGCAGATCAGCTTTGTAAGTTGCTGACCGCTGTTGAAGAACCCCGTGTAGTACTTTTTCCTAAAGATAGTCACCACGTTTACTTTCGTTGAATCCACATGGATTAGCAGAAGCGTGAGTCTTTATAAATAACTAGCGTTGAAATTCAGCATTGTACTGAATGAAATGTTGCGCAGCGATTCATTTTTCTGACTGATGATCATGTGAATCACGGCATTTATTCAGTAAAGGAACAAAGACGGTTTCTGGCTTAGACTCTCCAAACAGGTGATGAATCTGCTAAATGAACTGCATGATGATAGAAGGGTCCATTCCTTCAGCATAGCCTCCTTGAAGGAGGGACAGTCCTCATGGGGGCAAGACTCCGTTATACAGGACTGACACACAGTTTCACCTCTTAAACATAGGTAGAAATAAAGACCAACTAGCGCGTGAAGGGAGAGGTGCCTGGGACCTGAAGCAAGGAGCCCAGAGAGGTTCAGTGGACGAGGACTTCCCAGTGCACTTTGACTTCTGAGGTGACCAGATGGGTCTGGAGCACGAGGAGCGACCGAAATAACTTGAGCAGGTTGGGGAGACAAAGCAAGGCTGCCCAGTGTGACTATCTGGTGTATCCAGGGGCTGTTCCTTCCTGGCCACAATGTAGACTGTTTTGAATTTGCTCCAGTAAATAAAGCTGCAAATGCATTGCTGTTATCCAACTTTTGGTTGTGTGTGTGTGTGTGTGTGTGTGTGTGTGTGTACTCTTCCCACAACTCAGAGCATTGTTTCGGGTTATTTACCCTTATTTGGCACAGGGGTATCATTCAATAACTCATTGGCGTGGTGTAATGTCTGTCTCATAAGTACCTATCCCATTAGGGTGCTAATGGGTGATGAGGCAGTCATTCCAGATGGCACAAAATATTACAAATATTCATTTCCTCTCCATCAGAAGGAACCCCAAACTAAAAGAAAAGCAGAGATTTCATGAACACTCAGTGGCCCCCTCCTTTGCAGCTTGAAGAACTCTTATCCAATGTAAGTTGGATTAGACCCATTTACCTAACTAGATCTAAATGGATCTTTTTGGTTATTAGATGACTGCTGAGGTTCACAAAAAAAAAAAAAAGTCCCTTTCCCAAGCTTGCACAGTGAGGAGAGGAAGCAGAACCCAAATCTGGTGTCTTCTCTTGTATACCAGATTCCCCACAGCTCCTTAGCGATGAGAAAGACTGCTCGCTTCTGTGTGTTTGCTCTGCGGACATTTGTGGGGCCGTTTGGGAACCTAGTGGGCTTTCTGTAACACTGCTGTGGGAAAACAGGTTTTAAGTGAGACGGGAATCACTGCTTCTTGGAGTGCATCAGTACTGGAAGTAGGGTGAATGTCCCCTTTTACCCAGGACTCAGAAGTTTCCTGGGAACACAGGATTTTTCAGTACTAAACTGAAGCTTGATCATTCTGCTTATAAATATATGCATTGACAAAGCCCCCAAAATTGCTTTGCTGAAGTTGCAATGTATTGCTTTTCTGCATTTTTTTCTTAAAATTTGCCTATTGCTTGCAAAACTTGGTTGTAAAAATTATATACACAGCTTCCATTGTATGGTTTCAAAAACAGTTTCGTTGGTTGCTTCTTGTAGGTAAAATAGCCTGTGTTATGCTTAGTCTATGTGCTTCCTTGCTGCCCTCTAGTGGACAAATCCAACAGGCCCATACCACAGTTCTGTACATTTTGTTTATGGAGCCTCAGTGTCTTTTTGTACAGTACACCTTCTTTATATAGTATTGTAATCCTTGCTGATTGTGCTGCTGTACAGTTCAGTGCTGTAGTTTTATGTTGTTATACACTACCACGCTGCATGTGCAAATAAAAGCAAAGTCATCAAGTTAGAATTTCCTTTGACCATGTCTTTGTTCTGAATACTGTGATATACACAGTATTTACAGTTCCTCATTTAGTGATGAATTCATTTAATAACCTAGAACCAGGGACATAACTCAGCCATTAAACAAAGAATCTTCCTGCCTCTGCTGTTTTTGTCCTTTTTTGGGGGTTGCCGGGAATCGAACCCAGGACCTTGACTTTCGAGGCCTGGCCTGTGGCGAAACCACTGAGCTAAATCCCCTGCTGTTTTTGTACTTTATATAAAATGAAATAATACAGTAGGCATTCTATTGTGTGTGACTTCTCCTGTAGCATTTTAATGTGAAAGTAACAGTTTTACTGGACTTAGTAACTTATTTTATCCAAATGAACAGTATAGAAACAGACAATTAGAGAAAACAAGAATACTAGAAGAGGAACGAGGGATTTAGCTCAGTGGTGCCGCCACCTGACTTGTAAACGCAAGGTCCTGAGTTCGATCCCGGCATCTCCCCAAAAAAAGGAATACTAGAAGGCCCTATTGACTTCACCTTTTGTTATTTTTATGTCTACCTTGGGGGGTAGGGGTGTGTAATGTGTGTGCATAGGTGGTGGTGGGCATGTTCACAGGCGGACATCTGGACCCTAGTGGGACCAGATCATGCACGCTGCCTTGTCACCATGGTATCTTTATTCCCCACAATTCCAAGCAGTTTTTTGTTTGTTTGTTTGGGGATTTTTTTTCTGGTACTGGGGATTGAACTCAGAACCTTGTGCTTGTGAGGCAGGCATGGCAGCAGCACTAAATCCCCAGCCCCGTCTCCACAATTCATGGTGAGCACTGTTCATTTATTGGAGTCATTTCGAACAGGATACTTTGTCTTGAATAGGGATTTGTCTTCGGGGAGAGCTGAGTCCTGTTTTGTGTCTCCATGTGGCAGTGAAGTCCCCCGGGGGACCTCAGTGGACAGGCTGCTCCCAGAGAAGACAGGGGCGAAGAAGGTGACCTTTCTGTAGCCTCTTCCTGCTCCTGCCCTCCCGAGAATCGAGAATCATGACTCACATGGTGAATGTTCTCCCTTCTTCTGCAGCATCGGCATCTTGTTTGGCTTTTTGGCCAGCCTCCAAGTGAGGACATGGATCCAAAGGACCCAGAACCTGGCAGACAGCAATTTGAAAGACTTGCGAACGCTCCTGAACCAAACTCCAAAGGTAACGCACGTCAGCCTGAGAGAGCTCGTGGCACTACATACTGTGGGCTTGTCACAGGTTCCCTTGTCTGTCTAGACCCTCCGTGCAACCTTCCAGGAGCCAGGCAAATCCATGTGGATGGTGTTATCTTTTAATGTTGTAGATGAAGAAATAAAGACCCCACCGGTGATCTTCAGGAGTACAGAAGCATAGTTTCCAAATTAGTGTTCTTATTTTGCTTGATTTGATTTTACTAAGGTGTAACAAAACCATTATACATATTATAAAGCTAGTTAATTCCAAGATTCTCATGATTGTTTGGGGAGTCTTTGGAAGCACATATCCTTTCTTTTGGGCAGTGTAAGGAACCCTCATCACTTGTGTATAGTTTCTCTTACAGGGAAACCCGTGACTGTAAACACACCCGTGTTACTGCCTGTATAGGGGTCTCCCATTCCTAGCTTACACACTCATGTTGTGCACAGGGGCTGACTTTGGGTAAGAAGGACAGAAGGGATGAAGGGTCAGTGGTGGGGGAAGGGCCTCTTTTCCTGTATCCCAGGAGCCTGGTCCTGATACCTCTTCAGAACATCCTCTGGGAATGCGGCTGGGCAGGAACGCACCTAAATGTGCGGTGCTTGCAGGTACCAAAGTCAGCAGGGAAAGGCTGCCTCCTGGACTGAGTAGGAAGTCTGCCAGCACCCATGGACTTCCACATACTGGCTGGGTTCTTCCAACTTTATTCTGTCGTTAAAAATATTAGACATTGTGTGCTGCTGTTTTTTTGTTTGTTTGTTTGTTTTAAGTAGTTGGAAATAAAACAGATGCACACATTTTAAAATCCCACGAATAGGGGAGTTAACGTTACAGTTTCATAGCCTGTACACAAAGTGGAAATGTTTGCTTTTCCCAATCTGTGAATAAAAGTTCATCATATTTCTTACTCAGCATTCTAAAGAGGGCAAGGATAAACTTTTTCCCTGCAAAACTTGGACAACAGCGGTGGCTGGTGAAGTCTGGGTTTGCTTTCATCACCTTCAGAGGACAGGAAATGGTTGTGGCTTGGGTGGAAGCTAAGCTGGTTCAACTTACGTGAGGGAGTCTAATAAATCTATAGAAACTGAGCAGAGAATGTGAATGTGTAATTGATAGAATAAATGCAACTGGCCTCAAACAAAATACATTTAGCTTATTCTAGTAATTGTAGAAATGAAAACCAGTGATCTATATTCTCACTGAGAAGGCTGTCAGTAGTTGTTGAAAAATAACTCCCAGTGTTCCAGAGGGAATGGGAGATGGGTCCTCTGAGCCACTGTAGATAGCAGGGTAAGTAGCTCCTTTGGAGGCCAATTGGGAAAGGCCAATAAAACGAACCTGTTGTGCCACACTGCAAATGGTTGCAAATTCTTGGTAGTTCCTTATGTCAAGATGGAGCTGTTTCCCAACCCCGAGAGTTCAGACTGTCTCTGTGGTGTACTTGTGACAAGGACACTGCAGTGGACATGACCTTATGGTAGTTTCAAGTTTTGGCTTTCAGAGGTCTTGCTGTGGCGACTCTTGCTGCTGGTGACTCTGAGGTGACCATGTGAAACCACCCCATCCTGGTCACTTGAAAAATCCAGGGTCATGTGGAGAGGGCAGGCCCCACCTGTCTCCAGCCATGCTGTCCCCAACAAGAAGATCCACATGGCCAGTCCACAGAACCGTGAAACTTAACAAATCACCCCGAGCAACACATTCAGGATAAATAAACTCATATTACGTGAAGTGGTTTTTGGTCAGTAAGCCTGAGTATCAGGAAATAGAAACATTTCTAGAACTTGCCGGGATTTTTTTTTAATGTTCTGATTAACATTGTTTGTTTCATTTCAGATTAATTTTTGCATGTTAAGTCTCATTTTATAATCCTTGTATTGTAGCTTTGGACCTTTCAAGGACAATTTCATGTCTTTTTCTTTTCCAGCAAATTGACTATATATTGGCTCAGTTCAATACCACCAAGGACAAAGGATTCTCTGATCTGGACAGTGAGTACCATTTAAAATTGGCCTAAATTTTGTTTGATTTTGCTTTGGCTCTAAATTTACTGTGACTGCCTCCCATCCACTGTGGACTAAGAAGTAAGTAAAGATAGGGGAAACAGAAAAACGATTCCCTGGCATTATTGACAGTTTGCAATAATAATAATAATAATCTGTTACTGGATGATTAAAATCTGGCATTTACTGAAAGCTTTTGTTTCACGAGCATGAGGAGTTTTTCCTTGGTATTGTACATTTATTGACCAGACTTTACTTTCTTGGGTCACAAGTACTGTTCCCCGTTCATTGTGTGGGAGCGAAAACATGTCCCTCCCAGTTGCCCTGTCAAAGTGGGCTTCAGAAATAAAAAAGGGACAGTGCTGGTCCCTCGCTGCCACAAGAGTCAGGCACAGCTTGGCTCAGTGGCGCTGTCTGGAGACACGTTTGGTTGGTAGTCGCGGTACTGTGTCTGTTGGCAGAGGTTGGGGAATCTGCCCAGCACCCTAGAGTGCACACGACAGTGGTTCCCTCCCAGTTGCCCTGTCAAAGTGGGCTTCAGAAATAAAAAAGGGACAGTGCTGGTCCCTCGGTGCCACAAGAGTCAAGCACAGGTTGGCTCAGTGACGCTGTCTGGAGACACGTTCGGTTGGTAGTCGCGGTACTGTGTCTGTTGGCAGAGGTTGGGGAATCTGCCCAGCACCCTAGAATGCACGACAGTGCCCCACGTGTCAGCAATGCCACCATGGAGAACCCTGGTCTAGCTGGAGAGGCAGGGACAAGTGCAGCTGACCACGCTCGAGATGATAAACCCTGCATTCTCAGCACAAATAGTCCATGGGTCCATGGTGAGGTGACGGGTGTTTTTTCTCTGGGGCGCACTGATGTGAGGACTTGAAGCATGCGACAAAACCACCACACTACGGTCAACACCCGAGCAGGGTCCACGTTGCCAAATGGATTTCCAGGGCAGGAGGAGGGAGTGGAACGTGGAGAAGTCGTAAGAGGCTCGCACTCACCCAACCTCCTGTTTCTTTGAACCCAGATATTAATAAACTGCTTGGAGGCAAGATCCACGACCGACTAAGACCTAAAGTGATCCCTGTTCTTGATGAGATCAAAGCCATGGTGACAGGTAAGATGGTGGGTCCATCCTGGAGAGCAACTGAGGGTCACTCTCTCTGTCCTGGATTTTTCCACAGTTAGCAGGGGTGAGAGCTGAAGTCTGTCACACAAACAGACCAGATAAACACACACAGTGATGCAGTAGTTTGCTTGTTTGTCTAAAGCTTGTACCAAAGCCATTATGTTGATGGCCTAAAAGTGATTTGAAATGATAGTGCCAGAATTGTTTTTGTAAATAGAGTTTTATTGGAACACAACCATGGACTTTTGCCTAGGTACCGTCTATCACTGCTTCTGAGCTATGATGGCAGAAATGGGTTGCTGTAACAGAGACTATATGACTACCCTACAAGCCTAGAATGTTTACTACCTGCACTTCTAACGAAAACATGTCAGACCTCTGATATAGAAGATAAGTAGGCTATAGAATTTTTGAAATGGTTGTGGCTTGGGTGGAAGCTAAGCTGGTTCAACTTACGTGAGGGAGTCTAATAAATCTATAGAAACTGAGCAGAGAATGTGAATGTGTAATTGATAGAATAAATGCAACTGGCCTCAAACAAAATACATTTAGCTTATTCTAGTAATTGTAGAAATGAAAACCAGTGATCTATATTCTCACTGAGAAGGCTGTCAGTAGTTGTTGAAAAATAACTCCCAGTGTTCCAGAGGGAATGGGAGATGGGTCCTCTGAGCCACTGTAGATAGCAGGGTAAGTAGCTCCTTTGGAGGCCAATTGGGAAAGGCCAATAAAACGAACCTGTTGTGCCACACTGCAAATGGTTGCAAATTCTTGGTAGTTCCTTATGTCAAGATGGAGCTGTTTCCCAACCCTGAGAGTTCAGACTGTCTCTGTGGTGTACTTGTGACAAGGACACTGCAGTGGACATGACCTTATGGTAGTTTCAAGTTTTGGCTTTCAGAGGTCTTGCTGTGGCGACTCTTGCTGCTGGTGACTCTGAGGTGACCATGTGAAACCACCCCATCCTGGTCACTTGAAAAATCCAGGGTCATGTGGAGAGGGCAGGCCCCACCTGTCTCCAGCCATGCTGTCCCCAACAAGAAGATCCACATGGCCAGTCCACAGAACCGTGAAACTTAACAAATCACCCCGAGCAACACATTCAGGATAAATAAACTCATATTACGTGAAGTGGTTTTTGGTCAGTAAGCCTGAGTATCAGGAAATAGAAACATTTCTAGAACTTGCCGGGATTTTTTTTTAATGTTCTGATTAACATTGTTTGTTTCATTTCAGATTAATTTTTGCATGTTAAGTCTCATTTTATAATCCTTGTATTGTAGCTTTGGACCTTTCAAGGACAGTTTCATGTCTTTTTCTTTTCCAGCAAATTGACTATATATTGGCTCAGTTCAATACCACCAAGGACAAAGGATTCTCTGATCTGGACAGTGAGTACCATTTAAAATTGGCCTAAATTTTGTTTGATTTTGCTTTGGCTCTAAATTTACTGTGACTGCCTCCCATCCACTGTGGACTAAGAAGTAAGTAAAGATAGGGGAAACAGAAAAACGATTCCCTGGCATTATTGACAGTTTGCAATAATAATAATAATAATCTGTTACTGGATGATTAAAATCTGGCATTTACTGAAAGCTTTTGTTTCACGAGCATGAGGAGTTTTTCCTTGGTATTGTACATTTATTGACCAGACTTTACTTTCTTGGGTCACAAATACTGTTCCCCATTCATTGTGTGGGAGCGAAAACATGTCCCTCCCAGTTGCCCTGTCAAAGTGGGCTTCAGAAATAAAAAAGGGACAGTGCTGGTCCCTCGGTGCCACAAGAGTCAAGCACAGGTTGGCTCAGTGACGCTGTCTGGAGACACGTTCGGTTGGTAGTCGCGGTACTGTGTCTGTTGGCAGAGGTTGGGGAATCTGCCCAGCACCCTAGAATGCACGACAGTGCCCCACGTGTCAGCAATGCCACCATGGAGAACCCTGGTCTAGCTGGAGAGGCAGGGACAAGTGCAGCTGACCACGCTCGAGATGATAAACCCTGCATTCTCAGCACAAATAGTCCATGGGTCCATGGTGAGGTGACGGGTGTTTTTTCTCTGGGGCGCACTGATGTGAGGACTTGAAGCATGCGACAAAACCACCACACTACGGTCAACACCCGAGCAGGGTCCACGTTGCCAAATGGATTTCCAGGGCAGGAGGAGGGAGTGGAACGTGGAGAAGTCGTAAGAGGCTCGCACTCACCCAACCTCCTGTTTCTTTGAACCCAGATATTAATAAACTGCTTGGAGGCAAGATCCACGACCGACTAAGACCTAAAGTGATCCCTGTTCTTGATGAGATCAAAGCCATGGTGACAGGTAAGATGGTGGGTCCATCCTGGAGAGCAACTGAGGGTCACTCTCTCTGTCCTGGATTTTTCCACAGTTAGCAGGGGTGAGAGCTGAAGTCTGTCACACAAACAGACCAGATAAACACACACAGTGATGCAGTAGTTTGCTTGTTTGTCTAAAGCTTGTACCAAAGCCATTATGTTGATGGCCTAAAAGTGATTTGAAATGATAGTGCCAGAATTGTTTTTGTAAATAGAGTTTTATTGGAACACAACCATGGACTTTTGCCTAGGTACCGTCTATCACTCTTCTGAGCTATGATGGCAGAAATGGGTTGCTGTAACAGAGACCATATGACTACCCTACAAGCCTAGAATGTTTACTACCTGCACTTCTAACGAAAACATGCCAGACCTCTGATATAGAAGATAAGTAGGCTATAGAATTTCAGGTTTTTTTGAGGCGTATTGGTTTCTTTTTCCTTTCCCTTTTGGCAGAATAACCTTTAGAAGCAAGAAATATGTATATATCTTAAGCTCCACTCTGAGAAGTGGTATAAGTGAGCAGATGCACTTTTAATAACAAACATATTCCATTTTTTCCCTTTTCTCATTTTTTCTCTTCTTTCCTTCCACCAAATAAAGTTAATTTTTAAAAATTCTATTAACTCAAACATAAAAAAGAATAATAAACATATCGTACTGCAATGAAAGAGACCTCAGGGACATAGAATATTCCAATCTTCCTAATATTGAGAGAAGTTTCCGTGCTGGGTACTGGATGGGAGGACATATTCATCGCTGTAAAACATTTGGCCCATATGCCTTAAGCTTTTGTGAGCTAGTATTTCTGAGAAAAAGGGCATAAAGGGTGGGACTGTGTGGAGCTGTACGGTTGTGCCTGTGCCTTTTGGCATTTGTTAGGGTTCACCAATCCAGGAAAATGTGCCAAAACAAGAGGGTGTGTGGGACAGGCTAGAGTTGGTAGCATTGGCCTTCAGTTTGGAAGGGTCGCTCCTGCCCTTCTCCTTGACACTGCAGAGGGCCGGAGTAGCTGACAGTGGGTTCCTTGATGCCAATGCCTTAGATTCTCCAGAGTCTGTTCTCTTTGTCTCCAGCCACTTCCTTCCCAGGCCAGCAAACAGACCCAGAGAACGGAGGTGACCTCAAAAACCCAGGTCTCCTGCCTTCCTGTCTTTGCTTTTCTCATGCACGCACTTCCTCTCTCCCTCCTCCTTTTTCTCTTACTGTCTCTGTTTTCCTTCCTTCCCTTCCTTCTTTCTCTGCCTGTCATTTCATTCTTCCTTCTGTCTTGGAGGACCCATCTTTAGTGTTGCTTCCTTCCTCATATAAAGACACCGGTCCTGTCCCATTAGAGTCCCACACTTACAGTTGTATTTAACCTAAAGACTTTTTCTCTGAATAGAGTCATGTTGGGGGTTAGGACATCGGCATGGCCACCTGAGGGCCACTTGGTCCGTAGCAGTTGGGCAGCTGGGAGGTGGAGGAGTTGGGACTCAGACCTGTGTGACGAAGCCTCAGTCCCCAGGGAGCGTCCGGATGCCGGGTGTTGCTGATCCTTGGGGGGACGAATTGGAAATCTGGGTTCAAGATGTAGCTGGGGGGTGATGCCGGGCGTCCTTGCACCCCAGGCCCCTCGTGTGTCAGTGCCTTTGGAGGGTGGGTCTTCCAAGATCTCCTCCAGCTCCAGAATCCCTCGAGGGTACCTTGCCTGGTGTGTGTGTGTTTACTTTTGCCCGATGTCCCAGCAATTTTTAGCATTTGAATTTTAGTGCTCCCTGGATGAAAGATGATTAGAGTGGACTGTATTTTTCCCCATCAGTGCCTCCTGTATTAAAATTCTACTTTTTTTTTAAGCCAGCCTGAGTGAGTCAAAGTTTTTTAAGCTCCAGTTGCTGCCAGAGCTTCTTAAAATGTGCTTCATAAACTACTCAAGCAAATTTTTTTTGCTAAAACTTCTGCGCAGCCTATGTGTTTTGGGGCCCTTGGAGAAAGCAGAAACATGCAGTTCCTTTGTGCAAATCATATTTAGGTTGCAGGTCAGGACCTAGAAAGGAAACAAGGAGCAGTGGGTTGGTGAAATGTTAATTAACTGAAATTAAAAATCTGAAAGGTCATTTCCACCCCCGTCAGACACCTAATTTATATCATCTTGGTAGGTCTCAAATGACCCCCGTAGTTACAACCCACTCAATATTTTGTAGGCATAAAGTGCTTTGAGGCTTTTGGAAAATGTATTTTTATAATTACCTCCGAGCCTTTCCTGGGGCGGGTCGTAATATTACCCGTGCCCCAGAAGGTCTAGAGATGACGATTAAACATACACAGTTCCTGGGCCATCAATTTATTTTATCGTCACTTCTTTCTTTCTTGTACTAAAATCTGTCGTGAAGTCAGAGTGAAAAGGGCTATGAGAGGTAAACCCCAGAACATTGAAGCATGGGTGTAGCATGAGAAGTGTATCTTAGCACGAGCTGTTTTGCATTTCGCTTCATGTCTCTGGTTGCACCCGTAGTCTTTGTTTTTTATTTTACTGTGTTGTATACTGACTGACTCTACGTGTGCTGGTTACCAGGCCTTTGTCAATGACGCAAGGAGGCAGATGGGAGGGACGAAAGCTGACACTCAGGGGACTCTTTGACAATCTTTTTCTTTTCTTCTTTCTTTCTTTTTTTGGGCGGGGGGGTACTTAAAGCCATACACTTCACACTGAGCTACATCCCCAGCTCTTTTTTCATTTTTTATTTTAACATAAGTTCTTACTAAGGCACTAAATTCCCTAGGCTGGGCTCACACTTGGAATCCTTTTCCCTCAGCCTCCCAGAATGCTGGGATTAGGTGGGACAATTTGAGACCAAGGATAACAGACAGCCCAATTCTGGAAGCCTCCTAGGTCTCAGGGTAAATCCGCAAAGCTGGTTGCAGTGTGGAACAAGACTAGTTAACTGTCCTGACAGCTCAGCCCTCCAAACCTGTCAGCACACTGCCTAGGATCACAGACTCCTGGCGTCTGGGACAGGACCCAGCCGGCTCCGTAACATGCAGATGGGGAAACCGAGGTCTCTAGAGATGACACAGTCTGCCAAAGATGCCGTAACAAAGTCACAGAACTTTGATGAGACCTGAGGCCACTTTCAGCAGGATTCCACGGCACTGTGATGTACGTGTGTGTGTGTGTACAGTTTTAACACCCAAGTCTTACGTGGATGCCAGGAAAGCGACAACCAGTTTTTAAAAGCATTCCCATTTTCCTTGCAACCCTAAATGGCCGTCCGGTGCTGTCATCTGTTTTGTTCTCCAAATTGTTGTCCTGCAGAATCTGGATTCTGAATCTCATAGAGGTTCAAGACTTGTTGCTTACCACTCTGCCATTTTTTTCCCCGGCCCCCTCTCATCTGCTTTGTGAGCCACAGAGGAAAAACTGTGACCAGGAAGACTGACTGCTGGGAAAACAATATCCTCCAGCTTAAATTTCATGTCTTTCATAGATGGGGCTTTAAGCCACTATGGAGATGAATTGTAACTCTATCTCCCTAGCCTCAGATGTGGACTCCGCCCCCACCAGAAATCAGGCAGCAACATTATTCAGCTGTCTTACTACAAATAGTATCCTGGGTTGTGGGCCTCTCAATGCAAAACAGATTCACCGCCTGGGAGGCCTTTCACTCTCATTGGTCTCCACAGATGCACATGGTGGAGATCTCAGAGTTTTATTACCAGGAAATTGGCTCCTGGAGGTTGTAGAATCTACTTCTGACCTCACAGGAAGTAGCAAAGTTGGGATCTAAGCCTGAACCTACCTGATCTAAAACCAGGCCCTCTCCTGCCCTTTGAAGTTTAACTCCAGCTCTTTACACATTCACAGGTAAAATGGGTCTGGGTTTGATTAGCTTTTGTGTGGACTGACACTTCCTGGGATGGACTTGTGCTGACCTCTTCAAGGTTAAGCAGTGAGGCCTTGGTTGGACACAGTGGTGCTTGTCAGTGTCCCCATCCCGTCTCTGTTGGCACCAGACCCGGATTCTGGGTTGAAAGATGCCGCGCAGGAGAGCTGAGCTGCTGCGGGAGCCGGTGGAGGAGCCCCTCCCTCAGACCGCCCCAGCTCCTGGGCCTCATTCCCAAGTTCACCTCCCGCTCCCCGCGGCCCCTCTTGTAGAGGCCGGGCCTGGGCGCCTGCGCTGAGGCTCTCTGTGTCCCTTCTGCAGCCGTCAGAGAGACCAAGGAGGCCTTGGAGGGCGTGGACAGCAGCGTGCAGAGCCTGAGGCAGGGGAGCCAGCAGCTGAACAGCAGCCTGACCAGTGTGAAAAACGACATGGAGAACACGCTGCAGGACAACGAGTGCTTTGTAGAACCAGGGCAGCAGACCTGTGAAAGCATCAGGGGGACTCTAGGCCAGCTGGAGAGCAGCCCGGGCCTCGGCCAGGTGAGCAGGTGCCCGGCAGCCCGGGGTGGAGGGTCTTCATCCTCACCCTGGCATCCCTCTTTTCGGGACTTCTGAGAGCCACCTTGGAACAGCTTCAGCAGGAGCAAAGAACAGAGCGGAACCCTTCATGGGAGTTCATGTAACCTTGGTTTTTGTCTTGTTTTCGAGATGGTCTCGCTACATAGTGCTTCCTTTCAACTCACTCTGTAGTCCAGGTTGGCCTCGAACTTGTGATGATCTTCCTGCCTCCGCCGCCCCAGTGATGAGGTGACAGGCTTACACCACCGTGCCTGGTTCATATAGACCTTTAAAATTAAAATCCAGCCAGGCATGGAGGCACACATCTGTAATCCCAGTATTGGAGAGGCTGAGGCAGGACGTGCACTGTGAGTTTGAAGCCAGACTGGGCTTCAGAGTGAGTTCAAAGCCAATCTGTACTACATAGTGAGACCTTGTCTCAAAAATTTTTTAAAAAATGAATTAATTAAATATTGAAGTATATTTTAAGATGATGTGCCTCATATATTTATTATATGTGCTGAAATAGGAAGCAGTTACCCCCCATTTTCTGGAGGAGGAGAAGATCCTGAGCCCCCACAAAACAAAAACAAAAACAAGAAAAAGATTTGAGGCAACTTGAATATATAAAGTCTTAGGATGTAGAAAAAAACAAGATTGTCTAATGTGGTACCTAATTTTTAAATTTCATTATATATACCCCTCACATTCTACGTAACATATTAACGTAGACACATTTCTTCTCGCCCTCATACTGCACGAGCCACTGGCTTTTCATACATTTCACACGGATCATCCATGTCTGCGTATTTGCATACAATCCTTGAGGGAGTCACTGAACGGGTTTTTAGAGCCTGTTATATTTGTTGGAAATAGATCCTTTTAAAGAAAAATTTTTATTTATGCACGTTCAAATATTTACAAAAGTTGCAAGTGCGAACTCTCCTTCCTTAGCAAGTGGCACTGTTTTGCTCCATTGGCTTTATCATACTGTTTTATCTGTTTATCTCCATATTATATAAGTGCACCAACTAATATATATTTTGTTCTTTGCTCAAAAGATAAATTACAGACACGCCACCCCCTTTAGCCCTAAATATTTCCGTGCATTTTCTAACTTCCAGAGCCATTACAGTTATCACCATTAGGACGTAGGGCCAGGTGTGGTGGTGCTCACCTGAAATCCAGGCACTCAGGAGGCTGAGGCAGGAGGATCACCATGAGTTCAAGGCCAGCCTGAGCTAAGTAACAAGTTCATGGTCAGGCCAAACTACATAATAAGACTTTGTCTCAAAAAACAAAAACGAAGCAAAAAAATGATATTTTCAACTTTCCCCACATATTATATCTGTGTTAAATTTCTTGGCCTCCTTTTGAGCTGACTTGCAGTAGGAGTTCTCCAAACTTTTAAAACTGAGTTTAGAGAGGATTTTATGAGCAAAATATCCTTCCCCAAATAATACTTCATTGCTCAGAAGAAAGGTCATACTGCTGACAGTGGGGTCTGGATACAAGACAGCTCTTTTTTGGGGGGGTTAACTTGGGGAGTAGCACCTTCTTTATCCTTTGTCTTATACATTTTTAGCTTCCATCTGTGGATCCAGAACTTAAAAACATTGATAACATCCTTGCAAACGATTTGGAAGGCCTAGCCAATCAGGTATGTTTTTTTAAAAAATCCAGTGGCTTCTTTTATATCGTTAAAAGGATAGATTAGTATATAAGAAAATCGGGACACGGTAAAGAAACCTTGACCTTCTCAAGAGGGAATTCTAAGACAGCCAATAGCTAGTTGGTTCATTGTTCCAATTCAAGAAACTTTTATGAAGCATCTATTATGTGCAGACATCGTGCTAAAACCACTGGAAATCAAGGCAAACATGACCTGTGCTTTCCCGGGACTCAGAGTTTGGTGGACACAGCCCAGGACCCACACGCATACAGATACACAGTGCTGCCCTCTACCGATTTTTGGCCAGCCTGGTTTTTTCACTGTTCCTTCTCATTTCTGTGCATTTCTCTGCCTGTTACTTCTTCCTCCCCTCCTTGGTCTGGCTACTGTATCTTTTTTGCTTCATGTGCCACGTTTTCTGTTTGTTTGTTTGTTTGTTGCTTTTGGTGTTGGGGATGGAACCCAGGGCCTTGTGTGTGCTACACACAGTACTTGCTTTGGGTCAAATATCTCCTTCATTAGACCTTGCTGGGAGGGACCACCCTGGCCTGGAATATCATGTGACTTACCATTGTTATTTATTCAGCCATTAAATACGAGCCAACAGTAAATACTTCCTCTATTTTTATGATTGGATAGGTGCCCAGGACCTCTAAGAAAGGGAGAGAGTAGTTTTATTCTTAACTCTGTCGTCATTTATCCTAAGGCTGAAATGAGTATATACAGCCATCAACTGTAACGTTGAGGGGCATAAATCAGACACAGCTTACGTATTGCACGGTCTCTTAATATGAGAAGCACCAAGCGTAGCTACTCGCAGAACAGAATAAGAGATCAGAAGAAATAAGAAGAGAGATCTTTTGCATTGGGGGAGAGGACCAAAAGATGGAAGGCAGGTGGGGGGAAGATGTGTTACGTACCCGTGCCGAACCCGTGAGGAATGCAATCACTGTGTGCCGATAGAACTAGCAACGAACGATCGAGAGCAAAATCCCCTGAGAGAGCAGTTTCTGGGCCTATGCTGGGCAAGTGCCGTACTCAGCACTGAGAACATTTTTTGAGGGAACAGACGTCGTCCTTCTCTGAGGGGCCTGTGACGTAGGAGGCAGGAGTGTAAAGTGACTGGCACCATAAATCTTTTTTTTTCCATGTACAAAGATTTTACTTTCAAAAATTAATTTTCTTGGTACCTTTGAGATATATATAATGACAGCATTCATCATAGGCAGTTTGTATCTGTGCGTGATATATCTTGATTCTTTTCCCCAGTCTCCTCCCTTTCCTTTAATCCTTCTTCCCCTTTTTATTTAAAACAGCTTTGCTTCCGCTTTGTTTCCTGCTAGTCTCCTTTATTTTCTTGTCCCTTCCTTCCTTTCCCGCTCCCCCTCCCTTGTGCCCCTTCCCATGTGAACATTTTCTTACTATTTCGCAATCTCTATCATACATTTTGGTCCTTATTTACCCTTTTGGTTTCTCACACCAGAGAAACAATGTGATATTTAAACACGTGTGTCCGATTTATTTCACTTGAGTATGGTCTTAAAGTGCATCCATTTATCTAGAAATAGAAACGTCTCAAGCTTATCCTTCTTTATGGCAAAGTAGTACTTTAGTGTAAAAACAAAACACATTTTTACCCATTCATCCACTGATGGGCATTTGGGCAGTTTCTAAGATTTAGCTTTTACAAACTGTGCTGCTGTAAACATGGGTGTGCATGTATCACTGTGGTAGGGTGCTTTTAATTCTTCGGGGAACGTTTTCGTTTTTTGAGGGGTGTCCACACTGCTTTCCGCGGTGATGGTGGCGGTCTGCACTCCCACCGACCGTGGGCAGGCAGGCACTGCAAACTTAGGCAGGCTGTGAGCACCGACTACAGAATTCCCCAGCACACGGCTGTCCACGCCAGCGCTCAGCCACGCTCCGGCTCAGCTCCTTGCAGAGGACAGGCTGGGCGTTTAGAGAAGGTCCTTAGAGGTAACCCTGCCCTCTCAGGAGTTAGCCCCAGCCGGGGAGCTCGGTGTGGTTTTCGTTTTGTTTTCCTTTCAGCCACCCTCCGATTTGTCTTCTCCACAAACTGTGTTTTGGGACAGCTTCTTTCTTCTTTGAGACAAGATGTCTTATTTCATAAGTGCTTTGGAAGATTCCGTCTTTAGAAATTCACTTTGTAGCATCAGGGGCACCTCAGACGGGGTTTTCCTGGCCTCGGCACTCATGGCTGTGGCCTGGGTACACTTTCCTGGGCACTGTGAGATGTTTATTCACATCGCCAGCCCGAACTTACACAGTGCCAGCCACACCTCGCACTGTGACGGTGAAAATGTCTCCCGGCGTCCCAGTGTCCCTAGGGAATCTAGTTGTCCCCACCTTGAGAGTCAGGGCTACAGTTCTGTGTATCCGTAGCGACCTCTAGAATCCGCGGGAGCAGACAGATTGATTTTTAAATTATGGGAACGCTCTATATGCGACTTTTTAACGTGACCTTCCGTTCATGCAGGTTAAGGTGAATGCTTTCTAGAGGGCGTTTTTGTTGTTACTGTGAGGCTCCTGATGACCGTATTTGGTAATTCCTGCTATATTTTTAGTTTACTTCTGTACTCCACACCAAGCTGAAAAATAGGTACTGCCTTGCAGTGTACCGTGTACATCAATTTGTTTTGAAATATTTTTTAGGGATATGCAGCCTTTGATGATATACCTGAGAAGGTGAAAAATCAAACTGAGGCCGTCATTCAAGGTGAGACGTCACTCCTCGACCACTTCGTACCTGTTTCTCTTTGTTCTTTTGTTAAGAACTGTGTGGTGGTCAGTAGGAAGAAATATGTTGTTATGAGTTGTATTGTTCTGTTCTAAAATGCAGTTTCTTACCCCGGCATGACGGAATGAGTAGCGGAGCTTTTCAGTTATGTCACTTTCAGTCAATGACATGGGTTTAAAAAAAAAAATCCTCTCGTGAAGACGATTCATGTCACCAGCTACCCTGTGGTGACAGCCACGCCATGATGGGAAGACCCTCGGGCTCCTACACAAGTTTGGAAGGTCACGTTCTGATTGCTTTTTCCACTCTATGTGATTACATTTTCCAAGTGAAAATAGAGTTTTAAAAATTAACTAATTTACCTTTTTAATACTATGTATGAGGATTTATTTTGTCCTTCTGGTAGGTTTTTTTTTAAATTTTCTGTCCACTATGTTGATGCATATTTGAAGTCCCTAAGATTGCTTAGAGTTAGTTCTAGAGAGACAGAATCTTTGTTGAGAGGGTCTAAATTCTTAAATTATTGCTGGGTGTGATGGTGCACACCAGTGATCTCAGCACTTGGGAGGCTGAGGCAGGAGGATTGCTGGGAGTTCAAGGTCAGTCTGGGTTACATAGCTACTTCAAGGCCAGCCTGAACAACAGTGCATAGCAAGACTCTGTCTCTAAAAACTGAATTAAAAAAAAAAAAAACTCAAATTACTAAATTGTGCTATCCTCGGGTTACGGTATCGGGTGAATATGCAGACAGAATGGACTATAACTAGCTATTTTGTCCGTATTGTGCATAAATTTAGGGTTATTCAGAAAAAGCCCCTGGAGCTGTTTAAGGACCCTTTCCCCATCTGTCAGTCTTCTTCCCAGTGCTGCTTTTTATCTGTTTACACAGTGGTTTTAAAATATTGTGTTAATGGTACTTGACAATGCTTTTCTAACAGTGTTCTTTCATGCATTAAGAGTTTTGGTAGAGCCAGGCGTGGTGGCGCATGCCTGTAATCCCAGCACTCGGGAGGCTGAGGCAGGAGGATCTCTGTGAATTTGAGACCAGCCTGGGCTACATAGTGAGTTCCAGGTCAGTCTGAACTACATAGTGAGACCCCATCTCAAAAAAAAACCAAAAAGAAAAAAAAAAGAGTTTTGGTAGGGCTGGGGTTTAGCTCAATGGCAGTGTGCCTCCCTCACAAGCGCAAGGTCTTGAGTTCAATCCCCAGTGCCTGCCCCCCTAAAAAAAAATTAAAGAGAGTTTTGGTATAGAGTACTTTGTCCAGTTACATTGTGCTTTAGAGCTTTCGTGGGTTCTGTAGTCTCATAGAAGTCTGAACTGTGAGACAGGAGAGTTCACACGTTCCTCTGGGGCATATGAGGCTGTTGCTGGCCCACAGGGACCGCTCTCCCCAATCTCCTGGGGCCGGCTCTGCACACGCCGGCATTCTCCTGTAAGTGCCACGCAGCCCATCACACCAGGGACCACTGCATCGGCGTGGACGTCAGTGGCCTGCATCGTGTCCACGCTGTGTTTGGATCCTTGAGTCCTGGCCTGAGTGTGGGTTTTGACCCACGTCCTGTCAGGCTCCAAGGGCTGGGGAGGCAAGAACCCTGCCTGTCTTTCCGCCAGCCGTGCCTGCCTGGAGGCGTGGCCAGGAGCCAGGGACCACGCCTGGGCGGCAGCTGTACCCTCCACACGCGGTCGCCAAGGCTGGCGGGGCAGGCACTGTGTTGCACATGGCGAGGGTGAGCCAGGCAGAGAAGTGAGCCGGCCCTGAGGAGCTGCTGTCAGCAGAGGAGGAGCCCCCGTGTGCCAGCTCCCCCATGTCTGCGTCTTTCTTTGGTCTCTAAATGTCACATCCATGTGAAAAACATACTTCCAAAAAGCTTCCCGCTCCTCAGGCATGGTGGCTCATGCCTGTAATTTCAGCACTCAGGAGGCTGAGGCAGGAGGATCACCACAAGTTCAAGAGACCAACCTGGGCTACATAGTGAGTTCAAGGCCAGCCTGAACTACATAGCAAGCGCCTGTCTCAAAAACAAAACAAAAGTTCCCACTATTTTCATGTAATTACATTTTAGACCAAGCTACCCTCTCTGCCATTTAACCAACATCACCGGAGGCCTCAGGTCCCATTTGCCTTTGCTGCTATTAGGAGATTTCACTTTCAGGACCCTAAGAGATCCGTGGACTCCTAACTGAAGAGTGTGCTCTCAGTTTGTACATGACCAGAACTGATGTGGGGCTGGGGTGTAGCTCTGGGGTGGGTATTCGCTCAGCACATCCGAGGCCCTGGGTGCCTGAGCACTGAAAAGAAAAAAACACCCAGAAGTCACCATGGGAAAAGCCAGCCTCAGAAGTCATGTGACTGCTGGTCCAGGTGACACTACCCAGGAGCCGTGACTGAGGGCCTGTTGGACACTTTCCTCCAAATTGGATTCTTTTACCCCCTCTCTGAGGGTGAGGATGGGTATTGTAGAAACTGTTTGGCCTTAGAAGGCACAGATGTACTCCCCCCCACCGAACAGTCTCACGAAATTGCTCAGGCTAGCCTTGAACTCTTTCTGCCCCAGCTTGCCAAATAGCAGGGATTCCCAGCTTGCACCTCTATCCCTGGCCAAATCCATTTCTCTAATAAGTCCCACATCGTAGGAGTCAAACAAAATTTCAACAGTTATATCACTGGGGTCGCTGATTCCAAACACAGTCCTGGAGAATAATTCTGTCCTTGAATACCATTTCTTAGGTGTGAGATTATTATTTCCAAGTCATGTAACAGGGCCTTAGGGTTAGATACATTCTGATTCCAATCTCATTACCAATTCTTTCCCAAAGATAAGTAACAACTTCTATGAGCGTCAGGGTCACCATTAGTAAAATGGGGATTAAGAATACTGTATCTGCCTCAGCAGAGGAAACGAATTAACTTTTGCTCATGTGCCTAGTGCGTGGTAGGCACAGCTGTACATATTAATCACTTGATCCTTTTTTTTTTCTCATTGAGTTTATTGGTACATTTTAGGTATACAGTACAATTACATTTATTATTGGGATCTTGTACCTCTACATGACAGGTCTTGGTTCTCATTTTTTCCCCTTGTCCCTGCCCTCCCTTCACCCCCTCCTCCCCTCCCCATTTACAAACAGTTTATTTCCATTTCTTCATTTTCTCGTATTTTTTTCTTTTCCCTTATTACCTTTCCGCTACCCTTCCCACTTCCCCTACACCTTTAGCCCTTTTCTTCCTATTTCACATTGTCAATTATCTCGTTAGGTTGATCCTTTTTTTTTTCTGAAACAGGTTATTGTTACATAATTCAGGCTGGCCTTGAAATCATGGTGGTCCTCCTGCCTCAGCCTCCAAGTGCTGGGATTTCAGGTGTGTGCCACCATGCCCTGCCCACTTAATCCACGTTTTTGAAGCACTTCGGTGGGAGCAGAAGACCCTGACCTGACTTTGGTGTTATCTTAAAGACCATGCTCATGGGTTGCTGCTGCAGTTCGTCTTTGCTTTTCGATGGTCTTAGCTGTACTCATGCTTGTTGTAGAATCGCCTCTGTTCTAAACATGTGCATAACATGGGAAAAACCTAAAGGGGCTCAAGTCTTTGTGTCTGGTTGCAAAACACAGTTTCTTTGGCCTCTGTGTTTGAAATACGAACTCATTCCCTCTCCTTCCAGATGTCAAAAATGTCCTGAATGGCATTAGTTCAAACATCAATAGTCTCACTAAGCAGATTCCTATTCAGGACACGCTGTCCAATTTCACTGGTTACATCAATGACACTGAAAGTTACATCCACCAGACTTTGCCGAAGTTGGAAGACTATGACTCCTACTGGTGAGTACTCTGAGAGTGAAACGACAGGAGATTAGTACGGTTCCTGAGTGAGATTCGGAGAGCTTTCCCCATTGTTTAAAAAGGTTCTTGAACCAAATATGCAACAATTTGCAATTCCTGAGATCAGCTGCTTCTAGGATCTTGTTCTAATCTGAAAGCAGCCTATGGAAAGGGATTTCAGAGTTTAACTGCAAGTAAGAAAAGCATTTGCAGGGATGGGCTTCTAACATAAATAACCGAGGTCAATTCCTGCTAAGAGTGCACCATCTTCTCTGAGCCTGGAAGTTGGCGAATTGCTCTCCGGGCTAAGCTGTACTCAGTGTTGGATGGGAGGGGTGGCTTTTCACGGAGACCACATCCCAGGTGGAGTGTGGGAGAGGGGAGGACCTAAGGGCTTGGGAAATTGAGAGGAAGGCTCAGCTTCCATACCGGTCCTGCCTGAGCCCTGGGAGAGTCCAGAGCCGTTCTTACTCAGGTTGTGTCTTGTGCAAGAGCACGAGATCATTGATAAAATAATAACAATAACTGTCAGCGCCTGGGAGAGTTTCTGTGCCCACAGCAAGCGCTTTCCACGCAGAAGCCCCTCTGCACCCACAAAAGGTCTCTCGGGTTGTGTCACTTAAAATTCTGTTTTGTAGACCAGGACGTTGGGGATAGGGAAAACAAAGCGACTCACTTAAAGCCAGCTAAGATGTGTCAGAGATGGGCTTCCCAGCCCCATCTGCTCGGCCGCTACCGTCCTGGAAGAGTTCAGGGGTGCGTCCCCTGTCTCGTTAGGGCTCCAGACCACCAAAACAGGCATCGTAAGAAGGAGCTCCCTGACCTCAAATGCAGCTGGCTTCCCAGCCCCATCTGCTCGGCCGCTACCGTCCTGGAAGAGTTCAGGGGTGCGTCCCCTGTCTCGTTAGGGCTCCAGACCACCAAAACAGGCATCGTAAGAAGGAGCTCCCTGACCTTGCAAATGCAGCAGTGTCAGAGTTTCACAAGAGAGAAAAACAGTGCAGTCCCCCCCCCGCTCCTGCTCAGGACCATAAGCTTATTTTAAAGAAAATGTAAGTAGATGATTGATTGACTCTAAAAGGGCTTATTTAATTTTGTGTCATCAAGACTCGGAACCAACCTCCACAGAACGGTGCTGACGGCCATTATTATAATTAGCAAGATTGCTCTTTATTGAAGGAAAAGCTTTATGGCCATTTCGTGGAGAGGCCCCAGACAGAGCACATTCTTTTGTTTTTCAGTATCTTAAATGTTGGGGAGCAGTTTTTACCCTTAAATGCTCCTCAGCTGCTGGGAAAGGTAGTTGTTTGTTCCGGGAATGCTGGAAGACCTAATTGAGCCTCCATTACCCTAAAATGTCTCCCAGGACCATTACAAAATTGAGATTTGCACTCTGCAGACATATGGTTCAGGATCCTCATAAAATTCTAAATGTGCCATGCATCTGCCACGTAGAGCGTTTCCGGTTTAGCCAGGAGCGTGATGCCCCAGAACATTCCCGCAGCCACAGAGTATTTTACGGAAAGGCAAGGAAAGAGACTGGCATTTCTCTGTCATCCAAGCGTGTGCTTCCCACAGCTTCCAACATCAAGAACCTTGAAAGGGGTTTGGCTCGGTGGTTCTGTTGCCTGCCTTGCAAGCACAAGGGCCTGAGTTAGATCCCCAGTATCTGAAAAGAACTTTGAAGGGTCTTGAGAGTCTTAAGGCTCTTTTATCAGTAGTAAACCCAAAAAAAAGCAAAAATGTCACAATCGATCGTTGAAAGAGCGCACAGAAGCTGAGCATACTGGAGGACAGGGTAGGATGGGGAGCTCATGCACTGAGGACTCAGTGGACCTTGAGGTCCCTCAGAGGGCCAAGAGCCGCCGCTCCCCCGCCCCGCAGCCTGAGCAGCCCCCTAACCCTGTGCTTGCTTTACCAGGTGGCTGGGGAGCTTGATCACCTGCTTCCTCCTGAGCCTCACCGTGGTCTTTTTCTACCTGGGCGTGTTGTGTGGCGTCTGTGGCTACGACAAGCGCGCCACCCCGACGAGCAGGGGCTGCGTGTCCAACACGGGAGGCGTCTTCCTCATGGTGTGAGTATGCGTTCCGGGCAGTGAGGGTCTTGGGTGGTGGATCTGTCTTTGGTGTGGGCCCTGCTGCAAGCACAAAAAGGGAAAAGAAAACTAAATGGATGGCACACGATAGAGCAATGTAAGTGCGCTGTTTACAGAGCGTGGGCTCCTTTGAGAACAGCTGCTGCGGAAACCATTTCTGGGTTGACCTTCTAGATATCCATTTTTCCTCCTCGTATTTAATGTTTATTTTTATTAGTAAAAGTTTGCATGCAGAATGATTCCGCGCATTTTGGGACGTTGATATATGTATTCTTTTTTTCCCCCTTCCCTTCCCCCAACCCTCCATCTCTTGGTGCCTTTCCCATTTGCAAAATTATTGCCTATGTTTTATTTTGCGCTTCAGCGTATTTATACTTTGAGTTTCTCATATAAGAGAAACCTTTCGATCTTTCAGCTTGTGTGTCTGATTTATTGCCCTTAGCAGTGTGTGCTCAAGGTGCGTCCATTTTCAAGTTTATCCTTCTTGAAGGCAGAGTAGCGCTGTTCTGTATAAATACCACATTTTCTCCAGCCATTCGTCTCCTGGGGGTGTCACTCTTCCTTTACCGCATTCCCTCGCTTGTCTGTTCATCAGAAGCGGAGCTGTCCTCTCGGACCCCATTCTCCGTGGTCAGCACAGCTGCCAGTTTGAAGCCCTGGAAACTCGGAGTAGCAGAGTTCTCCACAGTAGCACCCTTGGGCCTTAGACAGTCAGCCTCAGTTAGGGCCAGGACTGGTTGCCGTGGGACGGTGAGCCTGAGGCTTCCTGGAGCAATCGTCCCTGTTTCAGGGACGTGGACACCCACATCGGCACCTTTGGAAGACCTTTGCTGGAGTAGGCTGTGGTGGTACAGTGGGCAGAGCTGGCCGTGCCCAGGGCGGAGCCAGAGCCAACACTGCGTATGGGCTCTGTTTGGATAAGCTCGCTTCAAATCAGCTGTTGGGTGTGTGGTGAGGCTCAGAGGTTCAAAACGACCCCTGTGGGGAACAGAGAACCAAAACACTGGCCACATGTTCTCATTCACCCACCGATATCGCCGTTGTGCAGGGAGGGAGGGCTGGGGGCAGGTGATGTGTGCTAATCTGTCTTCTGAATATGCAGTCACTGTAATAATTAATCAAGGTTCTTATGAGCCACAAGTCTTAAGCCCCTTCCCTAAAACACTTAGGCTCCTCTGTAGAACAAGCCTTTGATATCATTAATGCAGGCACCAGGGTCTTCAAAATAAGCACAAAGACAAAGACCTGGGGCCTCCCATGGCCTGACAAACAGCTCCACACAAGAGAACCTGGATTTAAGAAATTCCACTCTTGGGCTGGGGATTTGGTTCAATGGTTCTGCCATCTGCCTTGAAAGCACAAGGGCCCAAGTTCGATCACCGGTACCAAAAAAAAAGGAATTATACTCTAAGCCAAGTACCTCTGGTCAGGGAAAGATAAATGAGAAGAAATTACACCAGCAAGGGCAAATGTGTTTGCTTTACTTTTTTTGTTCACATAAACACAGCGAAAGGTAGGAAGTTGATTGATTCTTACGAACTCAGTAGCCCTGATATTTGGCTGTTTTGCCAGTGTTTCAGTGGTGATTATGTATCTCCCATCTTTATAACTGCTTCAGAAGCAGTTCATAAAATTCTCACCACATTGCTTTTAGGGACATAACAAAAAATTGTGTTACCTGGCTTCAAAGAAAAAGGAACAGGGACATCACCAACAAGTTGGCGGCAGCTACAAGCTGCTGGAGTCTGGACAGGACCGGAAGTCCTGCAGAGGCTGCTCCTGTTATGCTGTTGAGTCGTCCCCGGGGGCTACAGACAGGGCACCAGGAGCATTTGGCCTCCACGTGGAAGGAAGCTGCAGGCCCTGGCTTCACTGCCATCCTGTGTCATCTGAGGGTCCCTGATTATCTCCAGCTGCCTAGGATGCAGCAGTGAATGTATTATCTACCGCACAGGACAAGGAGAGAGCCAGGGACCTCACAGAGGTGCCGGGCAGCGTCTCTTGCACTAAAGCCCAGTATGAAAATTCCCTTTTAACCCCTGCAAACAAGGCCCAGCTCACCTGGACTTCCAGAGAAAACTCATTCCCAGAGCAGCCAGAAGCGTCACACAGTGGGTCCCACGTGCTGGCTGGTGGTAGTTTCCGGGTTCACAGAAAGTAGTTTGTCAAGCTCTGTAGCAAGGGCCAGGGGAAAGCCCATGTGCCTTTTGTCCGGAAGTCCCATTTTAGGGGACGCCTGTGAAGGAAGCAGACCAAACTCTGGAGAAGGCTCCTGAGCAGGAACGTGTTTCTGTGGTGTGAGTTACGAGCGTGAGGAGTTGGAAACAGCCCAGATGTGCAGCCAGCGCAGGGCTGGGGAACGGGTAATCGTGGATGTGTGCTCCTGAGGCCACTGACACGGTAACCGTGATGACCTGCCTCAATGGAAAAAGCTATTAAGGTAATATGTTTCTAAAGGGGTCACAGAATTAGGCAAATTGGATGGAATTTTCCTTTCCTTCTTTCCTTTCTTCCTTCCCTCTCTTCCTTTGTTCATCCTTCTTTACTTGTGACCAAACCCAATACCTCACACATGCTAGGCAAGCGCTTTACCACTGACCTACAACCCTAGCCCTAGATTTCAGGCGGAAATTGTCTTTGTTTCTTCTTGTTTTTGTTTTTCTCTACCTTCTTCTCCCTCCTCCTTCTTTCTTCTCCACACTTTCAACACCCATCCGCCTGTTCTGACCTCCATAATCTTGCAAAAACAGGTCTGGCAGCATATGCATATTTAGAAAACAGTCTGGAAATGATAACTGCTCTGTTTGGAGTAATAGAATTGTCATCCGCTGTGCTGTTGTGGTTTCCCGTCATGTGTATAAGGTGTGATCAAAATATATGATTAATGTTTAAGTTTTAGAAATGTATTGCAGTCATTGCCATGAATCCCCCCCAAAATACCTCTCCCTCGCTTCAAGCACGTTCATCCTATCATAGTGGTCACTTTCTGAAGCAGTTCTGGAGGTCCACTTCTGTAGCAGACATCCCTGCCCAGGGCCGGTGGCACCTGCTTCTTGCCTTCTCTAATTCAGCTCTATTGCTTTATTATCAGGAGTCAGACCGAAGCCCCATGTGGCTCAAACGGGCACGTCAGCTGGCAGAGTTGGGATGATGCTGCTCCTTTGCTAATGGCTGTCACTGAGGCCTAAGTCCTGGTCGGTGAAGTGGCAGGGCCCTGCTGAGTTACATGCAGCTGAGGTCAGCGTGACCCCCAAATATAATCCTTTTCCCTGAACTGTGTCTTCTGGGTTACTTGCTGATTGCACCTGGGTCTAGTACTGGTTTCTTCCGTCCTAGCAAGATAAGCAGTGCCGACTCCCTGACAGCCCTGCCTGGTGCCATCAGGCCAGGTGTTCAGCAGTAATTCACTAGATGACTTCAAAGAATACCCTGCTCCCTATTCCTTCCCACAATTGTGTTCAAGAAATGCTGGATGTGCTTGGGGGTCACGGGCAGCACTGAGCAGACCCAAGACTCAGCTTCTCCACTCTTAAGTCTCGTTTCTGTCTGTTCTTGAATTTGCCTTGTGCTGTGGTGGCTCACAGGAGGTCAGGACCCAAGGCAGAGGTCTTCATAACGTGCCCTTCGCTGCTTCCTATTCTCTTTTGTGAGTATCATTATGAGATCTGGTAAAAAATAAGGCAGTTGCTCCTGCGCAGTGCCATCCATCGGAAGAGCAGGCTCACGAAAACATTACGGTGTGTCTTAAAGCCACGTGTTTGAAGTGAGGGGCAGCGTTATAGGGAGATTAGTGGCAATGTATCTTTTACTGTAATAGCGTAAGAATGTAAACATTCAATGTCATACTGTATGTTAAAACCATGGCAACCCTTCTCCAAACTGTGCTGGACGGGAAAGCCTTTTAGGGCAAGGAGAGCCACGCTGAGCAGATGCATTCCAGTGGGTGAAGCCGTGCAGATGTTTGCGACTGTGGCTTTCGGGGTTTGGGGCTCGGGAGAACCACAGTCCCAGAGCCTCTGCCCTAGTTTGGAAGGACCCTCGGAGGTGTGCCCCATTGGCGGCGCCAGCTGAGGCAGCTCCTGCTCCACAGCTCTGAGACTTTGCCATCCCTGGAGGAACCGCGTGGGCACCTGGACGGAAGCCCCACACGGGGCCCCTGGGGCCCGGCCCAGCCGGTGATCCCGCCCCAGCAGCCCCGCAGTGTATTCCTTCGCGTTCCCTCTTCTTTCTTTCCTAGCTTTGGCAGCAGCCCACCCTCTCACGCCTCTGCAGTGATCTTTCCCACTATGACCCATCCGTCCTCCTATCTCCTCCTCTCAGCAGAGGGCTTTCCCTCCTCCTTCCCAAAGGAGGTAAAAGCCACCGTTCAGCTCCCCACACCCAAACCCCCAGACACGAGCGGTCCCTTCTCAGCCTGGCCAAGGTGCAGGGATCCTCGCCTCCCAGGGAGCCTGCCCTGCTCACCCGGTGGATGCACCTGACAGGCCCACTCCTGCAGCTTCGTTCTCCCTCTCTCTCTCTTGGCCTTTCCTCTTAACCCTGGGGTACGTTCTGTTCTCCCGCTTCCTTAAAAATAAAAGCAGCTTCTGCTAACACCGCCCCTCCCCTGCGCTGTCCTCTGCACATCAGCCTTCTCAGAGCACTGTGAGTTTCCGCCTACACCCTCTCCCACTCCCTCCCCAGTCCGCCTTCCCTCAGCCCCTCCTCTGTCCCTCCACTCTGCCTTCATTCTGTTCTCTCTGCCAGCAGCATCCTCTGGGCCCAGGATAGGGGGACAGCAGTATCTGCAGCAGCTCCCACCCCCTCTGCATCTGCACCCTCCTTCTGCAAACTCTCCTTCCCCTGTGGGTGACCTCACAGCCAGATGGTTTCTGTCCTGCTCTGTGAGTCTCCCTTGCTCTTGTTCGCTTGCTGTCCTTTTGCCACCCGTCCAGAAAAGGCCAAAGCCCTCCAGGCCAGTCCTAGGTGCTCCCCTCTGCAGTCCAGCCCCATGCTGGTTTCTGCCTCCTGCCTTCCCTGACCAGATGTCTGTGCTCCAGACCCCTGCACGGCATCCTCACCAAAGTGTCTCCCTGGCAACACGGCTGATGCCCGCCCCAGCTTCTCTTTCCATTCAGACAGTGTTCTCGGCCCCATCCTTCCTGCCTTCACCTCCTATCCTGCCACCTCTGCCTGTTGTGCTGTGCGTCTTTCGCCCACTGACGTCTCCACTGCCAGCAGCCTCATCAGGTGACCATCACGGTGCCCGGCCATTGATGGCCGTCCATGTGACAACTGTCCAACCATGCCTTACACTGTGTCCTCTGTGCCTCTGCCTTTCCACAGCAACCTCCTGGGTCCCCCAGCCCCACCCCGCTCACCCTTCCCTGCCTCTGAAGCAGCCCCCGTGCCCTTCTCTACCACCGTGGGGATGCAGGGCCATGTCGGCCCCTTCCAGACTCTCCAGGGCCCTCTTCCAGCCTGGAGTCTCTACCTTCTGTTCCTTTCGCAGAGAGGATTGGTTCTCAGTCGCACTGAACAGCAAGTGGAGCAGGCACTGGCATCGTAAGGGTTCCATGATTGTGAGCCCAGGATGGAAGGGGCAGTGCTGCCCACTTCTCTGCGCTGCTCATATCAGGCCGATCTGTTCAGCGTGCAGCTCTGTTATACACCACCAGTTGGTAGCGTGAGTAGGAACTGGTCGGTAGTCCTGGATGCTTTCCGTAGGATTACTAACTTTCTTTGTATTTTTTCCAGGGGGGTTGGACTAGCTTTCCTCTTTTGCTGGTTACTGATGACCCTCGTGGTTCTTACGTTTGTCGTTGGTGTAAATATGGAAAAATTGGTCTGTGAACCTTATGCAAACAGGAAGCTATTCCAGGTAAATATGGTTTTCTGTTCATTGTGGCAGGACTTGAAAGGACAGTTGGATTTCCCCCATAACTTGTGGGTTATGTCAAGAGCACTATAAAAATATGAGTATTTTTTTTTTAATTTTTAATTTTAGATATTGTCTTGCTAAGTTGTCCATGCTGGGTGGCCTCAATACAATCTTCCTGCCTCAGCCTCCTGGAGTCCTGGGATTTCAGGCATGTGTGACTAATCCCAGCTAGTTTGGTTTTAATCCAACTTGTTGAGAGGAAAAAATGTGTGTGTGTGTGTGTATATGTGTGTATTCATATACTTATACATATGTATATAATGGCATTCTTATTTTTTGATTCTATGTGAAATCAGTGCCAGGAATTAAGGCCTGAGATTGTAATATTATGGGAGAACAAAAATCATGCCTCACCCCTGTCATCCCAGCTACTCAGAAGGCTGAGGCAGCAGAATTATAGGTTGGAGGCCAGCCTGGGCAGTTTAGCAAGACTTTATCAATATAAAATTTTCTAAAGGGCCGGGGATATAGCTCAGTGGCACAGTGTCAATGGGCTCCATCTCTGGTGCTGGGAAAAAACATTCTCCTCAGTAGAAGCTCCTCACGGTACTGAGGACGGGAAGGTAGACTCCCACTTTCCTTCTGCACCCTTCTGGAAGCTTCTGACATTTATAGAATTTCTCAAGTGCAGAGTTCTCCACCCAGATGACGTGGGGCCCTGCATTTCAAGCGAAAGGGACCAATAAAGGACACCGTGGTGGCAGAGGCTCGTCCCTGGGGATGTCCGCCGGCCCAGTTGGAACTGAATTTGAGCTTCACGTTCCTTCCCAAAGGAACTCCTTCAGCCCCTGGGGCTCTGTGGAATTCACCTTACTCTTTGAGGAGGTAGTTTTAAATCATGACTCTGGCTTTTTGCTCCAGATTCTGATTTTTAAAATATACTCCTCTTTATCTCATTATATATATATTTTTTCCACCTCGAGTCTGTAGTGAAGTCACGTGAATGACTAAACAGTCATCAGTTGTCATGGAGATGATGTTTTGGTTGCTCATTCAGTTAAGAGAAATTAAATTGAGAGTGTTGATGTATCACATTACTTCACCTGGCCTTTTAATAATACTAGTAAGATACTTTAAAAAGGCTCTGTTATCTGCTCTGCAGTATTGAATCATTAAAAAGTAATTCTTTAAAAGCAAGAGATATTTCAAAACCATTTATTTGGTCAACCATCCCTAATCCAAAATGATCTGAAATCCAAAATTTTCCAAAGTCTGAAATATTTTCAGCACTTACATGACACCATAAATGGGAAAATTCTATACCCTGAAACTTTGTTTCATGTACAAAATAATTTAAAATATTGTATAAAATTACCTTTGGGATATGTGTCTAAGGAGTACATAAAATATAAATGAATTTCATATTTTAGGCTTAGGTCCTTGTCCCCTTTTTGTAAATGTTTCCAAAATCAGAAGAAAATTCTGAAACACTTCTGGTCACAGGCATTTCAGATAAGGGATATTCAACTTGTACTTGTCAGGTATGTACACAGTCATGAATTAGTTTGTCACAAATATTATGGTGCAGACTCAGAGTGTATGAGTTTTAATTTATTTTGTCCAGAGAGAAGTAGTGAAGGGTTGGGTCTATAGCTTCAGGATTTTATAGAAACTATTCTGAAGCAAATTTCCTCTAATTTCTGTCTTCTAATTTCCTCTATTTTCTAATGTGTTTACTGAAATAGAGTTGCAGTCTCAAAAAAATTATCTACAACTTTGATTGATGCTATCCAGTAGTCAATTGATTTATTACAATTACTCTATTATTTTCTAGTTTTAGACTAGAAGTTGATGAGAAATATCATGATATGAAAGTCTCAAAAGTACTTAATAGAATATTCATTTTACTATACGTAGGCATGTTAATGTAAACCTGTTTTTTACAAATCTTATTTCATTTGTTCTAGGTTTTGGACACCCCCTTCTTACTAAATGAGGAATGGGAGTATTATCTCTCTGGCTTGGTACTCAAAAAACCAAATGTTAAACTCACTTTTGAACAAGTTTACAGGTATCACTAATTATATTACTTACTTAATTTGCTGTGTAAAATGGCTTTTCTCCAGTATGAGAATTTTGCTTTCAAAGTATTTCTTTTAACCTTACTCAGAAGACTTTTCAGTTTCAGAGCTGTACTGCTCTCTGGTCTTAGCAAAGAGACTAAAAATAAGACCAGAAAGATAACCCTGAGCCAAGACCTTTGAAACCTGGAATAGTGATGTCTCAGGGTTCCTCTTTCAGAAGTCCCTGGGATTCTCTGGATAAGGCGATCCTATAGTGCCTTACTGGGGCTCTGTGAGAATTAAGCAAACAGTCCAAACCCCAGGTATAATAATGGTGTTGTCATTACAGGGCCGGTCCAAGCCCTCAGACCACCTTCTTCCTCTGCTTCTGGGGTCCCTGTGACCCTGAACAATTCCACTTCCCCTCTATCTAGTAGCAGTTGTGACAGCAAGACTCTCCCCTGGGGGTATTTTAGAGTCCAGCAAGATACCAGAGATTGGAACAGTGCTTGGCATGTCATAAGAACATGATAAAATGACGCATTCCTTACTTATGATTGTTCATCAACACACACTTCCCGTCTTTGACACATAAGAACATGGTAGAACTGCATAACCTAACTGCTAGTATCCCTGGAATGCTGTCTGGGGCACACATTTCTCTCCATCTTGTAAAACCACCTTGGATCTTCAAGGTGCTGTCTGCCTCAGCAGATTGCTCTGTGTAATGAATCGCTCCCTTTTTGCAGCCTTTCCATCACCTGCCTCTTTGCAACTCCTAAGAGAGGAGGATCTCACCGCCCTCTCCTTGGTGGTGAGATCACAGCTGAATGAGGTGACCAAGTGAATGTTCATGCAGCCAACGTCCTTGCCCTGGAAACATCCTCCCCTCTAAGGCAGATCAATTGCAGCCCTTACTCCACCCCATGAGCTGTCTTCCCACTGCCTTGGTCACTTTCTTTCCCCTGCTAGATCTCTTCATCCCATTAGTAAGTGTGTTTTGAGATTCAGCAGCAGCCACACAGCCACATGCTCACGTGAGAGACCCAGGTGACCTCTGGAAGTTGGGAGTTCTCTCTTGAGCCTCCCAAGTAGTGGTAGATCATCTACCAGGACAGGAATAAGCTTGTCCCTAGCCCTGGGTCCTGAGGAACCAGGCGTTCACCACTGTTTAAGCTTCTCCCAATGAAACTGCTAAGGTTTTTTTCTCGCTTCTTAGTTTACTTTTGAAGCAGTCCCCCAAATACCGTATAGCATTCTTTTCTTCTCAATCTAGTGTTACTTCACATCATATACCTGTGCAGATGGTGAAACATTTTTACTGGTCTGATGGTTGATTGTTTTACATGTTTAATCTCTGCTGTTGGCCATAGTGAAAAAAGTCACTTAGAGATTATTTGATGCTAAATCACAGGACAGTTTTAAGTCAACAGTAGCACTTTTATTTTTAATCACAGGGAGACCAGAGGGCTGGAGGGTATGTTTTCTAACATGACACATTCTTAGTGAATGAACTAAAACTACACAGGCAGTGGTAATGCACACTGAGGACAAAATGTCCAAAAGTTGATTGTGTGAGTCAGCTTTGTGTCACTGCGACAAAATACCTGAGAATAACAACTTAAAGAAGGCAACATTTATTTTGGCTAATGGTTTCAGAGGTCTCAGTCCATGGTCGGATGACTGCATTGATTTTCTGCCTATGGTGAGGCAGGACATCACAGAGGAAAGCTGCTCACCTCATGGTGGCCAGGGAACAGGAAAACGAAGACGGGTGAGGCCAGGAACAAGACGTACTCTAAAGGCATGGCCCTGGTGACCTTTTCTTCCAAGTAGGCTCTGCCTATTAGTGGCCCATTCAGCTATTAGCTCACTAATGGATGAACCCATTGGTAAGGTTAACACTCTCTTGATCCATTTGTGGGTTAGGTTTATAGACAAACTGGACTGAGTGTCTGGATGTCTGTGAACGCTAGCTTGTCACCAGCCTTACCTTTAGAATAAATGTTTAAGCATATAGTTAGTAAATGAAGACAAAATACTGAGAATCAGAGGGGAGCCAGAGATTTAGCTCATTGTTGGTTCTACTCCTTGCCTCACAAATGCAGGGTCCCAGGTTCAATCCCCAGTACCAAAAAACAAAACAAAACAAAACAAAACAAATCAGAGGGGAATTGGGCTTGGCAAGGGCGTTAATAAAGCCCATGATAAACTTTGTAGGGCATCTCTTTCCAGGAAGTATAATTTTTGAATTTTTTAAAGAGAATTTATTTCTTCTCTATTTGCAAACCTGTCTGCAGCAGTACAGGAAATAACATAAAGGAAACAGACAGAAAGATATATTTATCAGTCGCATTGTATCTGTTCCGAAACTAAGACAGTTCAGCAGCAGGGAAAGACGGCAGGAGTGGTGAGTGCTGTGAATTCTGTGTGCCAAGGATGGCGCTTGGCACCCACTTGTGTCTCCATAAGTCACACGTTGAGAAACAGACTCTTGCCGCCTCCTTAATCAGTGGGTGCAGGTAGCCACGTTGCTTTCCTGGGTCATGATTTCTCTATCTTCCCACAGTGATTGCAAAAATGATAAAGGCATTTACACCAGCCTTAAACTAGAGAACCGTTTCAACATCAGTGAGGAACTCGACATTCAGGAGGTGAGAACCAGCCGTGTACTTGACACATTGTGACGCTACTTAAACTCGTCTTTCTTTTTGTTGAAATTGATGTGAAATTCCCTAAGATAACATAAACCATTTTAAAGTGACATTTAGTATATCCACAAGGTTGTACAATCCTCACCTTGATCAAATTCTAAAACATTTTCTCACCCCAAACTGTTTGTCCCTCTTGTGGCCTCAATTTTTCTTGTGGATCACCCAAGATCCTTAAAAAGGATCTCACTTAAGACCTTGCCCAGGAAATGATTTCATTGCACTAAGTTTTGATGATCCTTTAGGAAAAAGTCCCACCTGCTCCCCAGGGAGGTTAGTTCTCCAAGACCAGCCCCCTTTTTCTACCAGGTCCCAGATTGGGAAGTATGGCCCATACTGTCCTCATTCCTGTGTGTCACATGGCCCCAGTATGGCCTCTGCTGGCAAGAAGCAGGAAGGATGAAGCAGACAGAGTGACCTTCTTGCCTGCTTTGCTCCAGTGCACACCCCAGTCTGAGTCTGAAGACTCTGAAGAAGGGTCAGTCCAAACACACTGGACGGAAGGAAGCAGTGAAGTCCCTGCTATGTGGGTCTAGAGTATGATTAGCCTAGAAGGATCTGGAGAGCTCTCCTCCTTTGGGGCTTCCATAATGAGAGTAGATCCTAAGAGGTACCAAAGAAGGAGTTGACCTCCAAGCCCTGCGGTTTGCTGATTAAGGCATCATGGAAGTGACCACAAGGCCATGATGATTTGACAGTTCTCAAATATGAGGAACTTTATTATTATTATTATTATTATTATTATTATTATTATTATTATTATTTGATACCGGGGATCAAACTTGGGTCCTTGCTCTTGCGAGGCAGGCAGCACAACCGCTGAGCTAAATCCCTGGCCCTGGAACTTTACTTATTTGAAAGCTGCATATGAAATTTTATTGACTGTCTTCCCTAAGCACTCCTTGCCTGTTCTTTAATGAAATACAGTTTTGTAACTAAATCCTAATTAAAAGCCCTCTTTCCCCATCACACCATGAGCCATTTCCTCTGTGCTGTGCTGGGTGGCAGTTTGAGAGCCTGCCCCCTGGGTCATGCTGCCTGAAGCCATTGACAGGTGAGCCCCAGATCAACAAACGTCACTATGATCTTTGCCCAAGTAACCAAACACTGTTTCCCAGAAGGTATCGCTCACGTCTTCCTGCTGCCCAGTCCTAGCCTTCCTGTGCTGGTCTCATCCCTAGAATGCCAGCGTACCCCGTCCCTTCCAGCATCTGTGTTTGTTGAGGCTGGGAGTTCAGAAGCCACCTCCTCTCTACAGTCCCCTCTGGCCGATGGGTCCCTTTGAGTTCTTTCTCCCTGGTGTCCCAGTGGAATTCACGTCCCTCTCTTATGACAGGTGTTCGCTTTGAGGTCTTTGAGGTGGCAGGTAGAACGAAGAGTGCTTGCCGTGGACCTACAGGGGCAGGGAAGGAAGAAATGCCAATCCAGTGTATGCACACACCTGTGCCTGTATAATTTTATTATTCTCTTATAGCATTAAATTGGTGACATCCTTTGAGAATAACGGATTGTTTAAAACTTTTGTGTCATGCAGCATACTGGAAACATATTGAGTGAATTTGAAAATCTGAATGTAAATCTTGATAATATTGTTCTGCTGGATGCAGAAGGAAGAAAAAACCTTCAGGCCTTTGCAACTTCCGGAATTCAGGATATAGATTATGACACCTTCTTGGCTCAGGTAAATACATCTGCGCACGTGTGATCTTTTGGGACGATTGCAATACTAGGCGTGCATTTTTTAAATTTGTGTTTTTAATGAGAGAAGATTCACATAACATGCCATCACGGTTTTTAAAGGGGTTAATTTAATGACATTTAGTACATTCACAATGTTATATAATTACCATCTCTATTTGGCTTCAAAAGATTTTCATTGCCCTAAAGGAAATGCTCTGTCACTGCCAGCTGCTCCCCACCCCACACGCACTCTCATCTCCCACCGTTCTGTGTTGTATTCCTGTGGATTTTCCTACTCTGGATGTTCCTGTACATAGAATGTACAGTAATGCAACCTTTTGTGTCTGACTTCCTACACGTAGCGCGCTGTGGAGGTTCTTGGGTGTTACAGCAGGTGTCAGTACTTCATTCTTTTTTGCGGTTGAATATAAAAGTGGCAGGTGTAAAGCAGAAGGAAGACTGTCAGAGAAGAGGGAAGGGACAGGGAATGGGGGACAGGTGCAATCAAAGCATGATATATGCATGAAAATGCCACAAGGAAACTCAGTAGTCTGCGTAACTAATATGTGCTAACAAAAATATATATTAGAGCTGGGCAATTAGCTCAGTGGTGCTGCTGCCTCCTTCGCAAGCACAAGGTCCTGAGTTCGATCCCCAGTACCAAAAAATACACACACACACACACACACACACACATTAGAAAAATAGTGCATATAAGTAAGAATGTTGTCACCTATGTGAGAGTTTCTAGCCTTTATTGTTTCATAATTATGGACCCATGTTCAAACTAGATTTTGTTAAGGTGTAAAAATCTCCTATCCGTAACACTATTTTTGTTTACCTCTTTTGTAGACTGATAAAACCCCTGTGAAAGTGAATCTTTTATCATTTTCGCTTGACCTAGAAGACAAAGTAAAAAATTTGGTGAGTTCAAATAGTCTCTTTCAGTGCTGTAGGAGTTGTAGAGATCTCACGTCAATACTGGGGTGAGCAACTGAAGTTTCTTTTTGGCACGAGTTTAACTCTGTTGAAAAGGCCTGTCTGATGCAGGTTAGCAGTTCTTATCAGCAGCCATTGCCGTGCTGCTTTCATATATACACACACAAATGCACACGAGCGCATGCACGTGTGCCATTTTTCTTGTAGAGTAGAGAATAGAAACTGGGGTATGGGTCGAAAATTCCATGGGGTGCTTTGCATCATGGGTAGTAAGTAGAAAATGGTAGGAGAGGCACTGTTAGACTCCATAGTCTTCCACTTCATCACCTCCTCTGCTGGGTGATGACCTGAACTGCTCTCTTCCCAGAAACAGCAGACCAGTAATGAGGATCCTGGGCTCTGGAGGAAGACCTGGGTTTACTCAGCCTCTTCATAACAGTAGGAGATTGAGCAAGATATTTTGCTGTTCTGTGCCTGTGCTTCCCTATCTGTAAAATGGGGGCACTAGTACCTTCCCTATAGGACTGTTACAGTTAATGTATTAAATACTAAGCGTGGGTTAAACAAACAGTTTTGGGCTGGACCTTGGTTTTCTCATCTGTGAAACAGGGAAACCCATAGTGGCTGTGGCACAGTGTGGCAGAGAAAGGAAGAACACAGTTTCTGGGGCTTAGGAAAAGTTCTTCCCTGGGTGTGAGGTATGGTGAGAGTCCCCAGCTCTGTGATGACAATGGGGTTCCTGGCACAGCCCCTCATGGCCGGCCCCTGCACCCAACTGCAGCCATCAGTTTCCAGTTCTGGAGATGGCACAGGCTCATGTCATGGCAGCTGGTGCCCCCGTGTGCACAGTGGGGGCTTCGCAGTCTGGTGAGAGTGTGCGTCTGTATTTCCTTTCTTCTCTTTGTAGCCCCCAGGAAATGTGAAAGATGGCCTCCGAACCCATGCACAGACTCTCAGAGGGATACATCACCAGCAAGTCCTGCCTATGGAGCAGTCACTGGTAACGGTCACCAGCCTGTGATATCTCCCTGGGCCCTGAGCCACATAGGCGGCACCTGCTTGGCTTTGATTTAACTCAAGGACTCCTGCTGACCTCACAGAGGTCCTCGCCATGATTTCAGCCTCAGTTCTGAAGAACATAAATCCGAAATTGCACCACCCTCCCTCTTCCTTCCTCTCCCTTCTCCCAGTGAGTGTCAGCAGGGAGTTGCCCTGGTGCCCGGATCCTGCACCCTTGCTCTGGTTTCTGCTGCTCTTCGCAGTCTCCTGAACCATGGATTTAGCACAGTGCTGGTGACTTTGTTCTGACTCTGTCTCACTGTTTTCCAATTCTTTTTCTCCAAACTCTGCCTAGAAATATATGAAGGTGAGGGTGAGTGCTTCTCTTCCCACATCCAGCAGCCACGTGGCTCTACTGCCTGTCTCTGCAGCCACTGTTTTCTTCTCTTTCCCATCCTGGCCGTCCCTGGCTTCTCCCTCCCTTCAAGGCAGTAAAAACAGTTTTCAGCCCCAAAAGAACAAGGGCTATAGAATTAAGCTGACCTCAGTTCACATCCTGCTTCTGCCTTTCTGAAGCACTGTAGCTTCTGCATTGCCTCATGTAAAAATAAAACTTTTAAAAATCAAGCATGGAGATATCAGGAATGATTCCTGCCTTGCCTGACCTGGCTTGCAGAGATGAAGGACTGCTGATATCAGAGAGACTCAGAAATTGAGGAATGGCTGTTTGCGTGCTAGCCCAGGGCAGAACTGAGGGGGATTTGTGCTCCTGGGTCAGTTGCTCAGGTTTGGAGATGTACGTTGCATCCCGTCACTCCAAAATCCAGTCTCTGGGTCTCGTTGTAATCGTCTCTCTCTTTCTCCTGCTGACTTCGTAATTCACTGGGGATGTCACAAAGTCCTTGTGTCGAATTTGCTTCATGTGTACTCCGGGCTTCTCGTGATTCTTAGCTATCCTTGATTTCACCAGTAGAAAGTTCTTAAGGTTTTAAGCTGGTTTTGCATTTTCCTTAAACCCTTTTCTTCAGTTGGACAGGGCTCCTTGGCCTCTTCGGAGCTAGGGCAATCTGGTCATTCAGAGGCAAATTGCTTTACACGTGACCTATGGCCTAAAACAGGGGTTGTCAAACTATGGCCTTCATGAAAGACAGCCTGAGGGCCATATCTAGTCTGCTGCCGGTTTTTGTAAATAAAGTTTTATTGGAACATGGTCATGCTCACTTACTGAACAACTGTGGCTGTTCTTGTTTGTAAAGGCAAAGCAGCATAATTGGGACAGACTAAAGCCTAAAGTCGTTACTGAATGGCCCTGTATAGATAAGGATGGCCACTCGTGACTTAAAGCACTCAGGTGAACCACACCTGTTTTTAAAAGTGCTTAAGTACCTTCCGCTTCGATCAAACCCGCATCAAGAGGATTTCTTGGATACTTTGCATGTGTTATGCTGCTGCACAGAGCTTTCAATTATGTATCCTGATTTTCTTCTTCAGATTTTCTTACACTAGAGACATGGAAGATACTTGTCACAACTTGTGTGTGTGCTGCTTTTTCCAGAAGGAAACCCTTCCTGTGTAAAGTCAGATTTGATGGCTGTATTGGGGGAGGAGGACACAAGACACATGATCTTGCTGCTTTGTGTAATAATTTAAGAAATATTTTGTTTGTTCCCCAGAACAATTTAAAAAAAAACATCAGGATACTTCAACGCACAAGCAGTGGACTGAAGGTCAGCATTTATTTTGTTTTTCTGTCGTGGGTTTTGTTCTCTAATACCATGCACAGAATTTCAAAGATGTTGATTTTTTAAATAGGTATTCAAATTTTTTAAAAAAATCTCAGTTATCTACTCATTTTAAACCAAGTTTCCCTACCATATTCTTTCTACAAATGCTTCTGTGGATGCAAACTCCTGCTTAGGTGGTTAGATATACAGATGAAAAGATCTGTGTTTTAATGTGCAGGATGCAGGCGTAGTCACTGCAAAAGTGCATCGGTCACTGTTGCAGAGATAGTGCTGTGTAACAAACTGTCTACCTCAGAGCCTCCTGAGCATTTTATCTTCACTCCTGGGCTGACCACTGGCTTTCTTGTATGTCTTCTGCATGGAACAGCCACCCTAAGGAGCAGCTCCCATCTGGGTCACCTCATGTTCTCTTGGTGGAAGATATGAGTTCAGGGGCAGAATGGAAATGCTGGGGTCTTTTTGAAGCCACTGTTCAGAACCAGCAGCACTGCTGCTCTGCTGCCCAACGCAAGTGACATGGCCACACCCGTGGTCATCATTGCCAGGTTGGCAACATCAAAGACCTCGCCCCATATCTGGCTCAAAGCAAGCGCTTGTGCTGGGGCCCTGTCCTTCCCCACCCTCCGAGAGCTGGGGCGCTCCATATCTGTGGGTTCTACATCTGCAGGTTCAACCAAAGATAGAATCAAAAATATTTTGAAAAAAAAAAACTTATCTGTACTGAACATGAGCAGACTCTTGTCATTATCCCCTGAACAAGGTACTGTAACAACTGGCTATACAGTGTTTATATTGCATTAGGTATTATGTGGTATTTATACACAATGGAATATTACTCTGCTGTGAAGAGGAATAAATTCGAGGTATTTGTAGAAAAATGGACGCATGTTGAGACCATAATGCTAAGTGAAATAAATCAGACAAACAAGCTTAAATATCACAGTTTTTTTTAATATGAAAAACTCAGACTATAAAAAATTGAAGAGCAAAGTAAGGCAGATAATAGGAAACAAGGAGATGGATCTTTTGCAGATGGGAAGGAGATCAAGAGATGGAAGGGCCTGGGATTTGGCTCAGTGGTGCCGCCACCTGCCTGGCAAGTGCAAGGTCCTGAGTTCGATCCCAAGTACCAAAAAAAAAGAGAGAGAGAAAGAGAAAGAGAGAGATGAGGGAGGTGGGAGGAAGGGGATTAAAAAAGAATCAAGATGTGTTAGGTACACATACCAACGCCCCACTGTGGATATAATCATTATGTACTGCAGATATGTACTAATAAAAATAAAAATTATTTTAAAAAACCAAGTAATCTGGGGATGATTTAAAGTGTAGAGGAAAGGGCTGAGGATTTGACTCAGTGGTTCTGCCTCCTGCCTTGCAAAAGCAAGGACCCAAGTTCAGTACCCAGTACCCTCCAAAATAAAACAAAAAAATTGTAGAGGAAGGTGTGATATGTGTAGGTTATATGCAAATACTATGCCATTTTATACAGGGGACGTGAATGTCTGTGGATTTTGGTACCCAGGAGAGGCTCCTGGAATTAATCACTAGGGACAACTGTGCTTGAATTGAGTTGCACATCATCTGATTAATCCCTCCGTCACTCATTACACCTCCAGTTGTTGTTGTGTTTTCCAGGAGAAAGTGAACAAGGTCCTTGTCTCTCTGGATTCTGCTCAGAACTTTGTGGCAAACAATATCTCCTCCATTATTGTTGACGTGAGTTTTCTTTTTAAAAATATCAGCATCACCCTAATCAAGCATGTGTCCATTCCATGATTAAATATCCAGCAAATTTAACTATGCTGTTGTCATTTTAGTGATTTTACTCATCTTTGATTTATTTCTAGGAAACTAAGAAGTATGGGCAAATCATACTAGGACACTTTGAACGTTATCTTCAGTGGGTCAAGGACGCTGTAAGTTCATCTTTTTATGACTATAAAGGGGCCACATCTTAGAGAAGTCATGTTCCAGGGAAAAATCTGGAGGAAATAAAATTCAATTCCTGGTAATTTGCTGGGAATTGAGAGCACTCTGAATATGAGGACCAAGCCCTCTAGGGCCACCCCACCAAATAAAGGACATGCCCCTTCTGGACTCCTCTGTCCCTTCAGTTATGTTTTTGTATGGTTCTTCCATTTTATTCTCACCTCCTCTGTCAAATAACAAAGGGGTGAGATAAAAACTTTGGACTAAAATGCTCTGCTGGACATGCATGTTTAATCCTCTCAGCTAATCTGCTAGGAGGGCTTCCTTGTCCCAAGTAAGAAACAGATGAACCTAGAAAACAAGGCTCAGAGAGAAGAAAGATCTTGTGTAAAGCCAATAACGCAACACACAGCAAAACTCAACCATACAAATTAGCATCCAACAAAATGAAATACCTAGGAATTAGTCTAACAAAAGAAGCAAAAGACCTCTACACTGAGAACTACAACACTCTGAAAAAAGAGATCAAAGAGGATATAAGAAAATGGAGAGATAGCTCTTGCTCCTGGGTAAGAAGAAACAATATAGTGAAAATGGTCATACTTCCAAAACCGCTGTACAGATTCACTGCAATCCCGATTGAAAGCCCAACAGTATATTTCACAGAACTAGAGAAAACAACCAAAAATTTATTTGGAACCAGAAGAGAGCTAGAATACTAAAAGCATTTCTAGGCAACAGAGACATGGCAAGAGGACATCACAGTTCCCAAACTGAAACTATACTACAAAGCCACTGTGATAAAAACAGCATGGTACTGGCAAGGAAACAGACCCGTGGATCAGTGGAATGGATTTGAAGATGCAGAAACAACTCCAGATGTACTCAGCTGCCTCATTTTTGACAAAGGAGCCAAGCATCTTCACTGGAGGAAAGATAGCCTCTTTAATAAGTGGTGTTGGAAAAACTGGATTTTAACTTGCGAAAGATTAAAACTAGACCCCTATCTTTCACCATGCACTAAAATAAAATCCAAGTGGATTAAATATCTAAATATAAAACAGAAAAATAAACTTGCTGAAAGATAAGTCAGGTAGAATTCTTTTTTTTTTTTTTTTTTGGTAGAATCCTTGAAAACATTAGCATAGAAAAAGACTCTATGAACAAATCCTCAGTAGCACAGGAACTAGCACAAAGGATCAACAACTGGGATCTCATTTTTTAAAAAAAGTTTCTGCACTATAAGAGAAACCACCAACAAAACTAAGAGACAACCTACAATGTTGGGAAAAAAATTTTTACTAGCTATTCCTCAGACAGAGATCAACTATCCATAATACATAAAGAATTCAAAAAAGCCAGATCCCTTAAATATAAAGACCTGATTTAAAAGTGGGCATCTGAAAAATGAACAGACATTTCTCAGACAAAGAAGTAACAGCAGCAAATAAATATATGAAAAAAATGTTCAGTATCATGGGTCATTTGAGAGATGCGGATGAAAACAACACTGAGATTCCACCTCACCCAGAAAGAATGGCTGCTATCAAGAAGTCAATAACAAATTCTGTCAAGAACCATAACAAATGTGAGAAGAAAGGAGATCCTCTCCATTGTCGGTGGGAGTGCAGACTGGTGCAACCACTGTGGAAATCAATGTGGAGATACCTCAAAGAGCTGGGATTAAAGGTCTTATTTGACCTAGCTATTCCTCTGCTGGGTATTTTCCCAGAAGAATTAAAAGGATCATGCCACACTGATATATGCGCACCCGTGTTTATAGTGGCACAGTTTGTAATAGCTAAAAGTTGGAAGTAGCCCAATTGCCCATCAACTGGAGACTGGATAAAGATGTGTTTTTTTTTTATAAAATGGAGTACTACTCAGTCATAAAGAATGAGAAACTAAAGATTTATACCTAAGTGGATGCACATTGAGGTCATACTCAAGCGAAATTAAGAGGACATGTATAAATAGCGAATAGTTTCTGTGGTGTTAAAAACTAAAAGTGTAAATAAGGATCAAAATGTATAATTGACATTATGCAATAGGAAGAAAAGGGCTAAAGGAGTAGAGGAAGTGGGATGGGTAGGGGAAAGATAAGAAGGGAAAAGAAAAAATATGAGACAGGCAAAAAAAAATGGAAACAAAGTCTTTGTAAATAGGGAAGGGTAGAGGGGGCGAAGGGAGGGCAGGAAAATGGAGAATAAATAAGAACCAAGGTACATCATGTACAAGATCCCAATGATGAATGTCATTGAATGTATACCTAAAATGTACCACTTAATGGAAAAAAAGAACCAGATGTCAGCTCTGTGACCTAAGGAATGCAGGTCCTTTTAGGAAAGCAGGCCGGAAGAAAGTGGTGTGCCCAGTTCTCGTGGAGTTTTCTGAGTGTGGCTCAGTGAAAGTTTGCCTTTGTATCTCATCCCCACAGGTCACTAAGAAAATGGTGTCCTGCAAGCCCGTGGCCAATGCCCTGGACTCTGCCATCAATGTCGTTCTGTGTGGCTACATTGTCCACCCTCTGGTAAGACTTCTGCTCTCCAAAGGAGCCAGAATAAGTCCACCATCTTGGATTCCCGGCCAGATGGTAACACAGACTATAATAGTAGTTTATCTGCTTGGATCTGATACAGTTCTAGGGTCCAAACCCTACAGTCTAGATGGGTGAGTTAGTACTGGTCCCTAATAGTCTAGAGACGTGAACGTCCTAGCTGCCGATCTTCATTCTCTACTAAGTCACATTACAGAAGTGAGAACAAAATTGCCTGCTGGGAATCATCAGAAAGGATCAGTCATTGGTGCGCCCATGGCCAGTACTGCAGGATTCCAAGCGGAACTCTGCACAACCCCAGGGTTACACCGAACTTACTTTTTGATTTCCAAGGCCTCTACGATGTGACCACTGGGATGATAAGTTTCAGTTCACCAGGGTGATTCATCCCTCGGTGTTCCCTGTCTCTCCACCAGCTCATCCCCTCACCAGCTCTGCTTAGTGTCTCCCTGGCTTCCCACTGGATCAGGATGAAGATCCACCCCCTGCCTGTCACAGCCCCCCTTTCTCCCTGGGCTCCACACATCCTCGTTTTCTTTCGTCTCTTTAACTGCATCTCGGCTTCCTCCCGCCGGGCCTCACGCTCAGCCTCATTTTCTGCCTGGACTGGAGACCGGCCCAGGCACTTTCCTTTCCTGCCTCCCATCATCCCTCCACCCCGTCCCGCCCCCTGCTCCCCAGCTAATTTCCCAGATCAGACTCTAAATTCCAGCTCTGCTCCTCCGTTGTCAGAACTCTGACTTTGAAAATGATTGAAATTGTCTGAGCTTCTCCCCCGCATCCGTGAAGGGCACTGTTTCTGTGGGTTCAGTGAGACTAAGTGAACTCCGTCAGGATCATTCTCGATACGCTGACACTCAGTAATGTTTGCCACTGTTGCTTGCTCAGTTTTGAGGTCTCTGCTCAAAGCAAGCTTTTTTTCCAGCAAGAATGTTCTGATCCTCCAAACCACAGGGCTCCCTTCCTCACCTATCCACAGAATGCTCCGCTTTTCTGGTAGCGATGATGTTGCTGTTGAATTACACGTGTGTGACACTCTGAGATCCGCCCTCTGTACACACGAGAGCTCAGCCCCATGAGGACAGGGCACAGTTACTGTGGTGTCCCTCACGGGGAGCCTGTCTGGCAGGGAGCAATTGCTCAGCAACCTTCAGAAGAGGTTGAATTCAATAGGGAGACTTCGTCGAGACCCTGGCACATGCCATGCATTGCTCCTGTCTCCGTGAAGATGAAGGATGCCACTGTCCCAACTGCTAGACTGCCAGACTCTTGGTTAGAAGTCAGGGCAGAAAAGGGGGGCCATGTAGTGCGTGGTCAGAAGCTATTTTGGAGGGTCCCAGACTGAATCATCGCTGGGCGCTTCTGTCCCTCTTCTGGAAAAAAAAAACAGGATCCACTTAAGGTTCCCAGAAGAAGAATTGGATTATAATGTGATATGGTATTTTACACAATGCTTGGTGTGTGTTAGTTCACAAATGAGTTTGAAGAACAAAATGAAAATGCATGTTAAAAAAAGAAATTTTTCCCCAACTAGTTGCTATTTTGCATTTCCTCTCTTCGGAAGCATTTGATTCCCCTGACGCTTTTTTGTTTTTCTCCCAGAATTTGTTTTGGTTTGGCATAGGACAAGCTACTACACTGCTGCTCCCGGCTGTGATCTTTGCTGTGAAGTTGGCCAAGTACTACCGCCGCATGGACTCGGAGGATGTGTATGATGAGTGAGTAGCGGAGCTTCCTCTCTGGGAGTCTGGGGACCATTTTCGAAGGAGCGCTGCTGTCCTAGAGCTGCGAAACAGGAGCTCTGTGATGAGCCTGCATTTGACCTTTTCCTTAAACGCTGGGCCGTTCCTGTCCTGGTGGGCTCTCCGTTCATTTGTTTGTTTGGGTTCTGTACTGATTTTCTTAGGCTTGTCCTAACTGTTTTCTTTCTCTTGCTTAGTCTCAGTGTCTTTAACCAGCTTTCTTATTTCTCATTCGCAGTTCCGCTCTCTCGGGGACTTGGCATTTTACTTTATGATAACTGTTGTTACTGCTTTTCCCTTGGGCTCTGTAGTGCACCCTTTGCTTGTGTGTGGTGAGCTGTGTGTCTCGTTGTTACTTCGCTCATCTTCTCACCAGGTTTTTCTCTAGAACTTGCACTGTCAGGCGTCCTGGAGGAAATATGTGGGAGGGTAGCTGCTGAGTTTGAACAGCAAGCAGACAAGAAGTAATTCTGTCTCCCTTCTTTTGTATTTTATAGTGTTGAAACTCTACCCATGAAAAAGTAAGCCTTTTTTTTTTTTAACTATCCATAGATGGGTTGAGGGAGGCTCTAAGGATTATATGACAGATTTTTAAATGAAACTAATAATGCCTTAATTCCATTAAAAATGATAGACATATCCAAGTAGAAATTGTGACACCTCTTAAAATGAGGACCAGCACACAGAAGGTTTAAGAAACACTTACTAAATGAATGAACATTTTATATGTTAACTTTATTTATAAAGTAGTCACTTCCATCTTCCATTTTTAAAGGGAGTGAAATACATGTATACCATTAGAACTTCTTTGCAGACTTAACATACTGTCACATGCTTTTCATGACCATTACATTGTCTGTGTATTCTCTGAGGTAAACGTTTCATCATAGAGATAACATGGTGTTTTTGGTGTATTTATTTTTGTTACAGTATGGAAAATGGTAATAATGGTTATCATAAAGATCATTTATATGGTGTTCACAATCCCGTTATGACAAGGTAACTCGCCCGGAAGTGCATGCCTGTCCTGTGACCAATCTGCTTGTTCCTTGTAGATCAGCCCCTGAGCCTTCTGCATGCTGCTGACCCCTTCACTTCCCCCCTGCCTGCAGAATCCTCTCTCAGTGGCTGTCCCCAGTCACCCCTACATAGCATTCCATGATGCCACAAGTTTGCATTTTTGATGGATTTCTTAGCAACGGAATTGTGCAGCAACTAAAGTTTGGTTTCATCTTAAAATGCTATGTATGGCTCATCTAAATCATTACGGATTAAATGCATGCACACTTTGATTTAGAATTTCTCTGCTAAGTATTTGTAGTTTTCCAGACCTACCGTTCTTTCCTTCTCCCCTTCTTCCTTTCCTCCCTTCCTTCCAGTAAATTAGCCATATTTGACCAGAAAAAGAGCTCCAACCTTTCCTGCAAACTCATTATGAATTTACATTCTCTGGAATTAAGGAGCTTCCTGTGCTTCTGGATATTTACGAGGTAACTCTGAGCACTACCTGCCAGGTGTCTTCTTCCCAGGCTCAACTGAAACTTGAGACATACATGTCACCCTTTCTACTGAGACGAGGTGGGAACAAAATGCACAGGGCCCAGCAGGGAGCCTTCCTCGTCAGTGGGTGTGGTTCTCCCCCCCACCCGTCCACACAACTGGCCCCACGCCAGTGGTCGTCTGTCCCCACGCCCAGCCATCTCGGGCAGGTGCACAGCTGTGAGTCCAACATCAGCGCAAAGGGCAATCTGTCTGGCCCAGAGCCCGACACTCCTCATGGGACATGGCCTGTTAAAAGGTCACCAGGGGGAGCCGCCAGGTGTCGCTGTAGAGAGCCTCTCAATCTAGGCCAACGCATCCTTGTCTCAGGCAGGGTTGCCGAGTAACAGCTGGTGCTGTACCTTTGTCAAGTTGCAACAGAAACAGAACCAGAAAAGTTTGGACATTTGTCTTTTCAGAAAAATAAAGGATTTTTCCTAACTTACAGCTTGAGCATTATAAAAACTTCAGAACGTTTTAAATTTGCCCTTTAGGGAAATTGTGTTCGTGTCTTTGGGCTGTAGGAACAAAATAAGATAAACTAGAGGGCTGATAAACGACAGGAATTTCTTTCTCACAGTTCTGGAGGCGGGGAAGCAGAGTCATTGTGCCGTCAGGGTCAGGGTCTCGTGAGGGCCGTCTTTCTCCTAGACGGCACCTGCTGGCTGGGTCCTCTCCAGATGTGCTCCCCGAGGCCCCCACCTCCCAACACCATCATCTTGGTGATGAGGACCTCAGTTTATGAATTTGAAAGGGATACAGATGTTCGGACCGTGGCAGAAATGATGATGATCAGGAACAGGGATGAGGATGTTCTAAAATGGCCAGAGGACCTTATCTCATCTCGCTTGCTTCTTACAGTACACTAGACATGGTTGCTAGAGTGCTGTGTTGTGAGATTGGTCCGAGACACGTGTCAGCTCCAGGGAGAGGAGACAGTTCGGTGGCCTGCATCTTGTGCTGACCTGCCTTTTCATGGGGTGCCACGGTTGCAGGATGACTTAGATTTACGGACTGGAATTTTCAAGATCAAGAGAGCACATAACTGCCTATGTGCTCACCAAATCAGTTCTCCTAGGACTTGGTTGGATTGGTTTCTGGTGCTTGCTTGCCTTTATGTAAGGTTTTTCATTCACGATAATGAGGATGCCCTTGTCTTTTTGTTACCTTGATGTTTCTGATGGAATTCAAGGGTGACTCCTAAGAGAAATGCACCTATCTAGCCTGTTATCCAAGCCAGCCCTGCTGTGTTCTGTTCATTACACTGATAGGGTTCTAGACATTAGCAGAGACACCTTCTCTGTACATCTGTACAGATGAGCCGTACTGTTTGTCGTCTTCACTCGCCCTGCTACTGCAATTTTTCCCAGCAGTCGAAGACATTTTTATCTGGGGAAGGGCTGAACAATTCCTTTCTGCACATATATATAACCCCCATGCACGCCTGCCTTATAGATAGTTAGGATCATATAACTTAGATTCTTTCTCCCTCTATCGGTCGTGTAGACTTTCGGCAAAGAGACCCATGCATCTAGCTCTGGCCTGAGTTCGGAGAGAAAGGTGCTCCTTGCCGGACCACAGAGTGTGTGAGTCCCACGGCCCTGGGCACTGATGACCAGATGCTGTCCTACATGGTCCCACCAGCCCTCTCAGCCCTACACAGCCACCTCCCTTTTACACAAGGGCTCAGAACATGAAGGTCATGCTGCGCTCCAGCCAGCCAGGGCCATCTAGCTCTGAACTGTCCTTTGTCCTGTTCTCCCAAAGCCAGGGGTATAGAAAAGCTCTCACCACTGAGGTGCAAGACCCCAGAGAAGTGTGATGATGTCCCCATTCTTCACTCTGACACCCACCAAGTTGAATAAGAGGCAAATGATGCCTCAAAGCCCAGTTTCTCTGAAAAGAAGACTTACCTGATTTGTACATGAATTTCCTTTTGTAATGTGAAAAACCATGTTGACAGAAGTACTTTGGGGGTCCAACCACATATGTCCACACACCTTTGCCTTCTTGTTACTTGTGCTGTCCAGTGTGTCCTTTGTCTGAAGTGTTGCAGGCACTTTGGTACTGGGAATCCCTAAAACATTCCTGGAAACCTCTGCAGTAGGCTCCAGTCTCCTGTTCAGTGTACGATGCAAGCCTGAGAAAGAAAACTAAAAGACAAGAGCTAAGACAGAAAGCAGGGAGCCAGAGTGGCCAGTGCTTCTGAATTAGCAAAGGCAATGGTCCATCCCAAACCACTCATTTTTATTAGTAATCAGTTGGGAAAAAGGCAAGCTGTGTGCAAGGGCAGGACTACGTACGAGGATGTGCAATCGTGCATTTTCTATGGAAACTAACAGAGGCAAGGCTTGTAAAAGAAAAAGAAAGCATTCTCGAATTAGGAACAGATTAGACAAAATACATGGTTGTAATTAGAACATTGTCCTCCTAGTCAGAACGTTTTAGTTGTGGGAACAGAATTTGGGTGTGAGTTACTCTGACCTCAGCACATAGGCTTCAGCCAGACTCACGTCTATAAACAAGCCAAATGTGGGGTCAAATCTTTACAGCTTGCACTGCTTACAGCCTGCTGTGGTCATATGTGGTCTTCCGCAGGGAGGGGTCCACACAGTGGTCTTGCTGCAGCAGGAAGGAACAGCTGGAACCCAAGGACACCAAGGGGGGACAGGTTCCCCTCTCTGCACATGCTGTGGCCACGTAGGTTTAGCAGAAAGTGCTGGGAGCCACTGACCCTGTGTGATGCTCCAGGCCTTGGGTGTTGGGAGATTTCTTCTTGAATAAAGGCAAAATGCCTCGGTGATTTAACAGGTGCTGTCTCCTGGCCACTCCCTGTGTGGGTCAGGTTGCCCAGAGGGCATGGTGATGGAAACCCAGAGCGTGAATCTAAGCTAACTCGATAAGGGCCACCAATAGTGTATGATGTCCGTTCTAGGAGAAACATGTCCCGGCTGTCCTACCTCACCCTCCTTTAGCATTTCATTGTGTTGGGTGGACAGGAAACTATAGTTCTCAGCCCAGGTCCTGCCCCATTTGAAGGACACCTGGTCCCTGTCATTTCAGAATTTTGAGGAATTGCTGTCAGTTGCCTGGCTTGGTTTGTATTGCTCATTTCCTGGCTCTCAGTTCTCTAAAGCACCACCATTTTCCAGGACAGGGTGACGTAAACCATCTGGAGGCCTCCGGGAGAGGTACAGCTGGGTCAGAAAAGACCCAGGGCTATGGTTGATATGCAGTTGGTGTGCCCAGTGTTCCACACCTTGGAAGGCAAAGACTGATGTTCTTTAGCGATAATAGAATGTGGTCAGAGACTGTGCCAGAGCTGAGGCTGCACACCTTCCCCACAGAGTTCCCCACCTGCCTAACCCTTCAAGGACAGCAGGGCTCCAGCTGATCATTACCAGAGGGCCACTCCGAGTACGCGCACCGTCTGATCTCACACTGTGGACTCATAATGGTGATTGGGTCCCTGCAGAACTTCATTGGCTTCTGCCTCCTGGTCTGGAGCAGACTTGGGGAAGCTGCTTGCCCATTCTCCATCTGCTGTCATGGTCTGCTTTCTGGGAGTCTAGGTCTTGGCTACATTCTCGGCGGCTTTTTCCACTTCTAGCCTTATATTGTGAGTATACTCAGTTCCACTTGTCACAGTTTCTGCCTCTCCATCCTCCTTATCCTCTTTGTAGAAGCAATGCAAGTGGAAGCTGTAAAGAACCAGTTTTACTGACAAGCTTTTTTCCCTGATAAACGGGCAGAGGTGCGATCTGTGTTCACCTGCTGCCTTTAGTCATCTGCCTGATGACACCACCCACAGCCTGTCGGGAGGGGTCATGTTTCTGTTTGTTTTTGTTTTCTAGCGCATCACACTATTGAGAGCTGATGTGGAAATGGCTTGAGGTAAGTATCACGCTATAAAACCACTTATAGGATTATAGCCTTTAGTGTTAGAACATTAAAACATAGCTAATCCTGAGAAGTTGAAAATCTAGGTTAACATATAGGCTATACAGTATGATTGTGCATATATATAATTCAATGACTGTGTGACTGGTATACATACATACGTGTGTATATATTGTAAAAAATAAGACTTAAAATTTATAGTAAAAAAATAAGCTCTAGATATCGATGTACCTTGAATATTAAGGGCTTCAAAGTTTTTTTACACATATTTGTATTTTAAAACATTGTTTTGCAGCAAACATTTCTATGATGGTTTTGTTTTTAAAAAGCCACCTCAGAAACTAAAATCATAACACGATGCTATAAATAAAGTGAGCCAGGGTGGCTGCCTCTTGAATACATCTGTCTCTTCTCTAGCAGTCAAGCTTCTAACAGGAACCATTTCAGGGTTAGGCCTTCCTGGTCCCTTCAATACTTCAAAGCCGGTTTCTACGGTTGTGTTTGATACTCATTTCAGCCTCGGGACCCCCCACCGTGGAAAGGTTCGCAGATGGTTGACGGTTTCCGAGCCCGCATGAACCTTGCAGATCCAGGAGGGACTTTGATGATGGCGACACTGTGACTCAGGCGGCCCCCGCGGTGCAGCGCCCTTGGTCTCTGGGCGGTACTTTGTTAGGGATGAACGTGGTGGCGTTCACAGTCCACGTGTCCCTCACTATTTAAGCATAATTCTCTCCGACACTGTTCATTTTTGTTTCGTACTTTGGCGTTCACAGTCCACGTGTCCCTCACTATTTAAGCATAATTCTCTCCGACACTGTTCATTTTTTTTCGTACTTTTTTTTACAGCGAATTTCTGTATAGACACTACAGTGTATAGGGTGTTTGTTCCCGCCAAACACATTTCTACATCTAACAGCTACTTAGATAAGATAGCTGAGTTCCTAACGTACTTCCACATGTGGAGTGCACTAAACACATACCAGTTTACAGAAAAGATGTATTTTTTGTATAGTAAATTGTATATATCTTTTACCCAGGAAGAGTTTTTTAAACAAACGATTATAGTGGTCTTCCAAATGAGCTTACTGTCAGGGCAGTGTTGATTTATCGGTGCTGTTGGGAATAATCCATCTTCACTAAAAGTGTGTGAAACCTACAGCCTGCCCTTCCCCCCGGATTTTCACCTACTTTAGCAATGATGTTCAGAAATAGAATGCAAAAGGAATCACAGAGAAATCTACTTGACTTCTCCACTGGCAAATTTGAAACGAGGGAGAGACAGAGGAGACAGAGAGAGAGAGAGAGAGAGAGTGTCTCGATAGAAAAATGATGCTTGTCAGAAGGTGGAGTTATGTTCATGGGTGCCAATTACAGAGTACGCTTGATGAAGGCTTTCATTCATAAGGATAGGTGTCCATTGGGGCATCATTTGATTACAGGGTGGGGGCCTAAAGTGAAATGCAAGATCCTGTCATGATTCTCAGGTTTTGTATCCAACTTGAATGAAAACTCTTGAGTTTGGTCCCACAAAAGCACAAAGTCACTATGTATTTATTTTGGGTATTCAGATGGGACTTGTTATTTTCAAAAGTGATCAGCAATGAAAAGCTGGTCAAACAAAAATGAGCTTCTTTTCATGTTCAGATCACAAGTCCTGTTGCATTCCAATAAAAAGGAGCTTGGAAAACATGCTCTGTGTTACTTCCTTGAGCAGGACCAAAGACTGTCACGTTGGAGGTGATGAAATGTGGGTTTGTACTACATCTTTATTCCCCTCCTCTGCCCCCAGGACAGGGCTGACCAGAAGTCAGTACACACTTCCTGTTGGTCAAAGTCTGCTGTCTTTTAGGTCCTTGGTTTTTCAGCTCTAAAGTCATTGTTTCTTAGGGGAACAGTCCTGGTTGCACTGGCTACATTACACATCCTCAAATACCCCCACAGGCAAACTGTCTGACATGCCCCTAAACATATAAAATGAAAAAATGACTTTCTGTAAAATTACATATGAGAGGCTTGCAATTTGGACAAATCACACCATATAGTATATAATTCTTTAGGAAGAAATCATCCCCTAACATTTTTTGAAAACCTAATTTTCGTATCCTACATTGAAAAA